ATCTATATGTACAAGGTATAGTTACAGGTATTGCACTGAGGGTTATTGTCCAGTCATAATGTCATGGGTTAAGTGTTAATCAGAGTGATGGCCTGGGGGAAAAAACTGTCCTTGTGCCTGGTTGTCTTGATGCATAGTGACCTGTAGCGCCATCCAGAAGGGAGGAGTTTGAGCAGATTGTGTCCAAGGTGTGAGGGGTCTGCAGAAATCTTCTCTGCCCTCCTCTAACCTGTGAGGTGTACAGGTCCTCCATGGAGGGCAGACTGGCACCGATGATTCTTTCTTTAGTCCTGACTGTCCGCTGGAGTCTCTTCCTGTCCTGTTTGGTTGCTGAGCCAAACCAGACAGTGATGGAGGTGCAGAGAACAGACTCGATGATTCCTCTGTAGAACTGTATCAGCAGCTCCTGGGGTAGGTCAAACTTCCTGAGCTGGTGCAGGAAGTACATCCTCTGCTGTGCCTTCTTGGTGGTAGTGCTGATGTTGGATGTCCACTTCTGGTCCTGGGAGATAGTGGAGCCCAAGAACTTGTAGGACTCTACTGCTGATACAGTGCTGCCAAGTTTGGTGAGGGGGGTAAGGTGGGGGGCTGTTCTGGAATCTACTATCATATACACTATTTTTAGCATTGTTGCGACTACACCATAGGACCAGCTGTTCAACATCCTGTCTGTAGGCTGACTCATCACCGTCTTGAATGAGAACAATGACTGTTGTGTCATCTGCAAACTTTAGGTGCTTGACAGAGGGGTCCTTCGAGAGATGCAGTCGTTGGTGTAAAGTGAAAACAGCATAGGGGAGAGCAAACATCCCTGGTGGGCACCTGTGCTGATTGTCCAGGCACTGGATGTGGTTTTCCCTAGCTGCACCTGCTGCTTCCTGTCTGTCAAAAAGCTAGTGATCCACTGACAGGTGGGGGCAGGCACAGTGAGCTGGGTCAGTTTGGAGTGGAGGATGTGCAGGATGATGGTGTTGAACGCTGAGCTGAAGTCCACAAAGACAGCCCGTGCATAGGTCCCTGGGGAGTCGAGGTGTTGCAGGATGTAATGCAATGCTATGTTGACTGCATCGTCCACTGACCTGTTTGCCCAGTAGGCAAACTGCAGGGGGTCCAGTAGGGGGTTTTGTGATGTCCTTCAGGTGGGCAAACACCAGTCTTTCAAAGGACTTTATAACTGCAAATGTCAAGGTAATAGGTCTGTAGTCATTCAGTCCACTGATGGAGGGTTTCTTGGGGACTGGGATGATGGTGGAGCATTTGAAGCAGTAGGGAACTTTGTGCAGCTGCAGCGAGTGTGAATATGGGGGCCAGCTGATCAGCACACCATTTCAGGCAGGAGGGGGTCACACCATCTGGGCCTGGTGCCTTTGTGATCTTTTGTTTTTTTAAAATGGCCATGCATATCCTTATCACAGATTGTTAGAGGTGAGGGGCTTGGGGGAAGGGTGGTAATTGTCGGGGGAGTGGTTGCTGGGTCTGAGGTGGGGAGGGTGAGGGTGGAGTATTGTCCCTTAAACCTACAGTAGAACACATTCAGGTTGTCCATGCAGATTCTCAGTCATCCAGGTCATAGTAAGCTGAAAAAACTTCAGCTCAACTGGACTAGGTGTTTTAGGCTGAAGACATTTCACCTCTCATCCAAGAGGCTTCATCAGTTCTGCCTGACTGGCATTGAGTCGGAGATATTTATTCCCATCGGTGGTGTTTCAGTCCTTTGATGGCCAACAATGTCCCTTAACGACTGAGTCGTTGTAGGGTTTATGACGATTACTGACCACAATGTTGGAAAGATAGTTCGATTTGACAGATTTCACAGCCTTCTGATAATCAGAGAGACATGAAGTTTATCCTTTTTCCATTTACGTTAGCCTTGCCAACATCTTTGTCTAAGTAGAGTCATTTAGCCAAGACACTGCTTGCAGCTTGGGTGGTATGTGTCGAAAAGGCGCGATGAAATCCAATATGCCCTGGCAAGTGGTTGTTAATAAACTCAGTAGTTCCTCAGGATTCATGTAGGAGGAGACTTCATCCATCAAATACAGACCAGTGTTTTTAAAGTGAATAGAAAACTCTCCTGCTGTAGGAGAATGAAACAGTCAAATGGTTATCAAACTTTGGCAGGATAAAACCCAAGAGGTCAGAAAACTCCTGAATAAAACCCTTGTTCAGAATCAACATCAGAATCAGAATCAGCTTTATTGGCCAGGTGTGTCGGATACACGAGGAATTTGACTCTGGTACAGTGGCTTTCAATGTGTACATACATGTCAACAAGCAAGGGAATGTGCATTAGGAAAAGATAAATTGTTGAATTTAGGAGGACGATAAACCACTGCACACAGCAGTGGATAAGAGAGCTCTACCACAAACAGCTGTAACTCAAAAGTGGAGGAGTCCACTGTGAGCTGCCGACATTTAAAGCTGTTTTTAAAAACTGATGCCAGGCCGCTGCCCCTGCCTGATGTGCGTGGCGAGCTAAAGAAGGAGCAATCCAGTGGAAGAAGTTCAGAAAATGCATAATGCTCACCTTCCTTTAGCCAGGTCTTGGTCAGCAACATAAAATCCAATTCCTGTGATATGAAAAAGTTATTTAGAATAAAAGTTTTGTTAGCCAGGGATCTGGCGTTAATCAAACCCATCCAGATCGATGAAGTGGAGTTCAGCTGAATGCCAAAAGGACTTGAGCCTGACGAGGTGAGGGGTCTCAAAACTGGTTTTTCAGCTTTTTTTGAGTAGCTCCTCTTTTCTATTTTGATCTCCCTTGTCAAGGTGTTCCTGGCCTGCCTGTACAGAATCTTGTCTCCACTTCTGTAGGCGTCCTCTTTGGCATGATGAAGCAGTTTGAGTTTTATTGTGAACCAGGGCTTGTTGTTGTTGTATGTGCAGAAGGTCTTGGTGGGCACACACACATCCTCACAAAAGCCGATGTATGATGTCACAGTGTCAGTGAGTTCATCCGGGTCTGTAGCTGCAGCCTCAAATACACTCCAGTCTGTGCAGTCAAATCAGGTCTGTAGCTGTGGCTTTGCCTGATCAGTCCATCTCTTCACTGTTTTGACTACAGGCTTCACAGCTTTAAGTTTCTGCCTATAGGTTGGAATAAGACGTACAGTGATCAGAGAGTCCAAGGGCTGCGTGGGGGACGGAGCGATGAGATTTGCTCTGTTAAAGTCCCCTAGAACAATGAGCGGGGAGTCGAGATGTTCCAGTTTCACGCTAGTTATCTGTTTGGCCAGGAGCTGTAGTGCGCTAATGTGGGCCTGCAGTCTTATATATACTCCAATCAGAATGAAAGAAGAAAATTCATGGGGAGAATAAAATGGTTTGCAGTTGATGCAAAGAGTCTCTAAGTCTGTGTTACATGTTCTCTGTAGCACAGTGACATCTGTGAATCAACCTTCATTTATGTAGAGGCAGATTCCCCCTCCTCTCGTTTTCCCGGATCGCTTTATTGTCCGTTCGTTCTACTGTCCGTGATGGAGTCACTGAGCCAGGTCTCCATGAAGCATAAAGCAGCAGAGCATGCAAAGTCGGAGTTAGTCCTGTCAACGAGAAAGGGTTCATCCATTTTGTTGGATAGAGAGCGAAGATTTGCTAGGTGGATAGACGGGAGTGGTGTTCGGGTCCTTCTCTGGCATAGCTTAACCAGGGCCCCCGCTCTCTTCCCTCACTGGCATTTTCTCCAGGTCCCATAAAGTGCAACCGCACCTCCGACCAGAATGTCCACACAGCATTTGTCATTCACAGAAATCAGAGAAAGGTAGTTTGGTGAAGAACGGTCCAGTGTTTAACAATTTTTCTCTGGTGAAAGAAATCTGGGATGGGTTGCAGAAGACTGAGAAAATGGGGAAAAACAAACACAGGAGAGCACACTTAACCAAGGCAGCCATAGTCGTCGGCGCCATCTTGACTATCCTTACAGCTTCTGTATAAGTGACTTTGCATTCAGTTCTTAATTGCTGAATCTCCATAACCTGTTTCCTAACACTGGACCCTCCATATGCTGCTGTATGGCATTAAACATTAACATTAAACTCCTCCATCATTCTTTATTTCAATACAGTACGTTGCATGTTTCCTCATCTTCATCAAACATTCTCTTGTCTGAAAATGCAATGAGTTAACCTTATCTTTTTTTCCCTTCCGATTATCTACCATCAACATCCTCAGAAATTCCTCCACTACTACTCGCCATTCCAATGCAATCAGTCTAGATTATGACAGAACTAGCTTTCAATACCAATTGCAGTTTGGCACTGAAAGGTGGTTCCAATTTCCAAACAAGCACTTCCGGGTCATGCTGACTGCCCCTAGCTAGTTAGCTAGAGAACGTATTTCCTGTAGATTACTTCTTCTATTATTATTCCAGCAGGGTAGATGGTTTTTCTTAGTGGCATCACCTATTATTTAGGAGAAGACTACAGTGAATCAAGCACAACTCAAGCGCGAGTATAAACGGTTGTGTCTCTCTGGATGTCACAGTTTGCATGCACAATGTTCAGTGCGTCCACCACGGCATGACTCCAAGCCAACTTATCCCTCCTCACTGATGATGCCATAGGCCTGCATCCACTGCACAGCCAGTTCTGACTAAACACATCACTTTAACTGTCTGTGGTAAACTACAGTTATTTATCATGTTTTTTATGTGTACAACAATTGTCTTGTTACATCTTATTTACACCTAAGCACAGTAAGTTGTTGCTGCTAATGCAAGAGTACTCTCTCTTAAGACCGTGTGGTGATTGTATTGTTTTTATTTTTATTATTTTTGTTTGTTCTGCTTTTTGTCCTCAAATATTTGTATTTTATGGCACTGTGGTCCATGAAGAACAACATTTTGTTTTCCCATATGTTGACATACATACAGTATGTGTGAAAGTAACAATAAAACTGTCCTTGAACTTGAAGAAGACATTGGTAGAGCACATTAGGCTGGTATAGCAGGTAGAACATATGTAGTCTGTTTTCTTCTGCATAATGCCTTTCTTTTTTTGCAGCGGATATGTCGGAGATTACTGGCGGTGTACGATCTTCCTAGCTGGGGCCGTTGTGAGCTAGCGTTGTCACTGCTTCTCGACCACAATGCTCCCTACTCGCTGGAAGACGTAGTGCAGGCTGTACAAGAGTCCCATGACAGGGAGTTTATCAAGCGAGTGCTAGCTAAAGAGTGTCCCATCTGCCTCTCTGTCTTCCCCCACAGTAAGGTACTGGGACAGTGAATGTTTTTATGTGTTTATGTGCACCGAAACACATTTTAAGTCATCTTCTTCTTTCTCATCCTGTCATCTCTCTCAGATGCAGTCTCTGACATCATGCCAGTGTTCAGTGTGCTGTGGTTGTTTCCAGCAGCACTTCACCATAGCTGTAAGGGACAAACACATCAGAGACATGGTGTGTCCAGTCTGTTGGGAGCCCGACATCAATGACCCTGAGCACCTTAACAGCTACTTCTCCATTTTGGACATACAGGTAGGGAAGCAGAAGAAGAAATGGAGGAAGGTAACATGAACCCAACAATGTCAGGATGACAGGGATTAATATTTGTGCCTGGTCACACCAGAGAGCAGCACACTGATGACTTTCTGATCTTTTGTTTTTTAGCCTACACACATTCTTTTCATAGATCTTCAGGGGTGGGGGGCCAGGGGGAAGGGAGGTGCTTGTGGGTGCAGCAGCTGATGGGTCGGAGTTTGTCTGCCAATTGATGGCTCTCCCTAGCAGGGGGGATGGTTTCCTGTTGCCTGTGGTGTTTCTGGCCTGGTTATAAAGGATCCTGTCCCAACTCTTATAGGCCTCCTCTTTGGCACAATGGAGCTTCTTGAGTTTTGCTGTGAGCTAAGGTTTGCTGCTGTATGTGCAGAAGGGCTTAGTGGGCTCACACATCCTCACAAAAGCTGTTTGTATAATGTAACATCCCCTTCTTCATCAGGTTTGTCCATCAGTCCCACAATATTCTCTGGCCGCCACTGCTCTGCTTCAGTTCATCTGTCCTCCACAGCCATCTCCAGTGGCACATATCAGGCAGAAGATCATTGCTGGTAACTATGTGGTGTGGCTGATTTGCTCATTCCTTCCATTACACAATTCTTTAAGACTTGAACACTTTTGGTCTCAGTGGCCTGGTCCTGCTGCCTGAAAGAACCAGCCAGATCCTAAGATCTCACCATAATATCCTTTAGCTTTTTCCTTATTCTGTGACATTTTATGCTCAGCATACCCAGCCTATTGTCAATAAATTGACAAATATATAGAAGCTGACTTGGATGTGGCCATTGGTTACACCAGCTTGGAGTCCTACACTTACCATACTATGTTTGTCTCCTAGCAGCTGCTACCTTGCAGCAGTTCAACAGAGACACCTATTGGGGTTGGCTTGATCAGGACCTATACTGCCGCATTTCTGCAGCACGTTAATTGCTGAACTGTTTTGTGTGACACTTAATCGGCATCACTCCTGCTAGAGAGCAAGCTGAATCCACCCCAGTGCCCCATTCACTCGTCACCACCCACAGTTTCTTTCACACCTCCTCTTTCCTTGTCCGTCAGGCCAGCTGGCTCTAACACAAACATCACCAACAAGAAATGCGGGCCAGCAGGGTGGCCAGTCAATTTGCAACAACTTCAATGACACCAGGTGCAGCATGTTGCATTGCTGGTTTCTACATATTTGTTTTCTCTATCACACCTATTCAGCCTGTTTACATAACCCCACAAAACAGTGACTTGGCCCAGCAGTCTTCATGCCATTCAATATCCAGGCTCTCACATATACCTTGCGTCACCATCCCAACCAATATCTCGTTGTTCTTGATCAGTGGTTTCAGATGTATTCAGCCGGGGGTCATCATTGCTCCCTCTACTTCATTTAGCTGTCAAAACCTGCTCTCTGCCATCAACAACCAAGACTCCATTGATGAACTCCTATTAAAGGAAGGCCAAGGCCAAGGCGAACATCACCAGTGCTTTCAAGGTACTGCCTCTCCATCCAGAGTTTTGACACCTATCCAGAGTTCACTGGGAGAATAAATCTTTCACAGTAAGACTCACATTTGGCTTTATGAGCAATCCAAAGATGTTTGCAGAGGCATTGTGCTGGATCTTACAAAACTGCGGTATTCGGTACTTGCTTGATGTTCTAGATGACTTTTTTGCCACTCTCCTCTTCCCCAGCATAAGACCTGTCATAGCTCACATCCGTTTTTCAATCTCTCAGGATTCTGATGGCAGTGGAAAAGATTAAAGGACCCACCGTGTCCATTGAATTTCTGGACATTTAGCTCAATTATTTTCTGTTCCAAGGTTCACTGCTGCCAGCAAAGTTTGACTAAATCAATCTCATTATTGCTAACCAGTGGCAAGCAAAACTAACCATCTGGGTTGCTGAGGACTAGTTTATTTAGCTTATTTAAAAATTATCTCCATGATACGCAATAAATTAATCGAAGTGAATTTCATCAAATCAGTTGTGGCTATTAAAATACATGTGGGTACCCGATCTTGTGCTTCCCATCCTATGCATTTGTCATAAAAATTGCAAATGCACCAGTGAATGCGCTAAGAAGTGGTCTGAGCAGGTGTTATCATGGTCGCTATTTCAAGTAAAAACAAGCACCGAAATTGCACTATGCTGCCTAATTAGCCATTGAGCCAAACGCAGGGTCCACCAGTCTATCACAGGGCTCAACTCTAATCAACACTTTTATTTTTATCATTAGAATTAGTATTAATCCAACTTCAACCTTAGTCATTCATTTTAGTCAAGTGGAAAGTTATTTTTACTAATAGTAAATCAGGGTTAAAATTTTCCTAATGTGCAGTGTTGTATTAGCCACCAAAACATTTGCTTTTATCACATGCAGTGAATGTTTTGAATGCAGACACTTTTCGAGTTATAAAATTAGACATCTTAACAAAAAATGTCTATCTCTCACAAGTCTTTGTCTTCAGTCCTCTATGAGTCAGATTCTTCGCTGTTTAGCATGTTCTCAAAAAGGCCTCAAAAAGTGCTTTTTTTTAATGGTAAATCTGAGGTACAGTATAATTGAAACTAACGAACTGATACATGAGTCTTTTGGCTGTGCCAGAGTGCAGGACAAAGACCTTTTGTGTGGCAGCTTTTAGTTTTTATGCTCCAAACTGTAGGAGCAGTCAGAGGATCTGAGAGCTGCTCAAAGTGTTGCTTTCTTTGTCTGTTCTCTCTTTGGTTTAGCTTTTGATGTTTTTTTTTAGTGTCAGTTATTATTATTATGATTATTATTATATTTTTGTCATTATATCCTATTTATTTGATCTAGATCCGTTTTAGTTTAATTCCATTTTATTGTTTTATTATTTTGTATTTGAAAATGTATTTATTTTTATTATTATTGTAGCACTGGGGCAGAGCAACATTTGACAGGGTCCACCATCTCCCTAGTGCGCCCCAGGAACATTGCTGGGGACAAAAGGGCCAAGGCCCTGGAGTTTGTGGGCCACCAAGCATCACATCACTACGGTTACTGGCAAGAGTGTAAAGATGAGAGAGGACACTCAAAGTGACTGTTGCTGGCTGCACCGTTGAGCACTGGGTCAAGCTGGCCAACATTCAGGATCCATGCATCGTCAGCCTCGACTTGCAGGCAGAGTAGGGGGCTGTGATAGATGTCCCTAGGGCTACGCTCTGCCTGGGTGTGGATGCCATGGCTCTCCACACTGCCGGTAGGGAAGGGCCGTGCCCAACCACGACAGTGTAGCGGCCAGCTGAAACCACGCCTACACTGTTTTTCCAGATGGTGTCCACCGAGACCAGGTGAGCTGGCAATGGCTCATATGAGAGGAGCTACAAAAAAAAGGAAGCGCCAACACACTGAGGATTGGGACACCTCCAGCAGAGGTGGGGACTCCCGTAAAGCCCAGAGGGGGCTGGCCCAGCAACCACATGCTCCCCTGCACCAGGACCAGGTGGGGGTCCACTTAAATGCAGGGCCTCGCCAGATGCGGACCCAGAATGTTCGCAGCAAAAGAGCAAACTTTGCCCCTGGTGCACTGGTGTGGGTGTGCAGCCCTGGATGGAAGACAGGTTTGTCACAACAGTCAGTGAGCCAGTGGGTCAGACCTTGTACTATGATGAAAAGACTATTAGATCTAGTGTATCGGATGGGACCTTGGCTTCACCTGAAAGGTGAGAATTGGACAATAGGAGCCAGCCACAAGCTCCAGACCCCTCTTCACCAGCTTCCTGGGAGCCACAAGAATGGCCTCAGCACCAGCGCAGGCTGCCCCAACACCTAAGGGATTTTGTTATGATTATGGGTTACTTAAGACTGTAACCAGCCAGGTGGGGGCTTTGTAGCGTTGAGGCAGAGCAATGCTTGGCAGGACTCCCTAAGATACCAGAGGGGGGAGACTATTGGTGGGGTCTCCCAGAATGCACCTCTGGGCAGGCTGTATATAGTCGGAGGCTGGTGAGGATTGCGGTGCATTCAGTCTATGATGTCTTTTGTGCTGTTGTCACATATGTTGTAAACGAAAAGAGCACCTCCTCGGCCAAGCAGGTGCTCCGAAAGCCAGTATGATGTCCAGCTCCTTCTTCTGTACAGCTGACGTTACATTATTATTATCCTTGCATCCTTTATTGCCTTACTGTTATTTGTAAAGCAGTCTGAAATGCAAAAACTCAAATGAAAGGTGTTGTATACATAAAGCTTGAATGACTGAATAAGGAAGATTTAGCAGCATTTCAGCAGCTACATTTAAGACTTATCAGGGCTACTTCAGTGATTTATTATCATACTTTCTTATAGTTGTGTGCAACAAACACACAGCATGTCATGATTCTGTCCTGTCGGTTTCTGTTTCCATGCTTTTATTTTGACTTTACTTCCTGTGTCAGTTTCACCTTAGTTTCGAACTTTTTATTTTAATCACCGGTTATTGTTTACACCTGTTTTCACCCTGTTATAGGCAGCTTTCCCCCACGGGAAAGCTGCCAGATCGTGCTAAACCCATGTTTGGACTTTCCAGTGGCTTTTTGTCTTGTCTGTTTTTCTAGCGACTTGATTATGTTTTCTGGACTCCTGCATTTTGTTTTGTTATTTGTGACCTGCACCTCTGATCGTTTTCTATTTTACCTCGTCTGGCATTATAATCAAGTTCACCCATGACATTGTCGGTAGCTTCACGTGCCGATTCCTGACAGTACGATCCGGCCAATATGATCTCAGCACAGCGAAGGAACAGAAATTGGTGTGCAGGTGTGGAGCGGACCTTGGCTGTCCGGGCCGAGGTTCTGGGCAGGATGTCGGAGGAGCTGAGCCATTTGAGTTTCAGGGGTGCCCAGAGCGCCGCTGCGGAGGTGTGTACTTTCCCCGCTCTGGCAGTGCATGGTCCCAGGCTTTCTATGCTCTTCTGTCCTGCACAGAAACCTTTTTTTGGCCTGTTCCTGAGCAGGTTGGCCAGAGTGCCGACACCGCCTTCATGCCTGCCCCTGTATCCCAGTGGGTGGGCTGGCGCACCGACGCCACCTTCATGCCTGCCCTGGTTCACGAGTGGGTCGGTGGGTGTGCCAATCCCACCTCCGAGCTTCTTCCTGTTCCTGTCCCTGAGCAGGTCGGCTGGCGAGCCAATGTTGCCTCTGAGCCTGTTCCTGCTCCCTGCCCCTGAGTGGGTTGGCCGGCGCGCCGACGCTGCCTTCGAGTCTGTTCCTGTTCCTGTCCCTTAGCGGGTTGGCCGGCGTGCCGACGCTGCCTTCAAGCCTGTTCCTGTTCCTGTCCCTGTCCCTGAGCAGGTCGGCCAGCCCCAGTCTGGTTCCCCGCTGCAGCCTCCAGAGCCAGTCCCCAAGCAGCCACTGCTGACTGCAGAGCCCGAGCGGCCTCTCAGCTCTCCAGCCTGGCGCCGAGGTCGTCCTCCCATACAGTCTCTCAGCTCTCCAGTGTGGCGCTGAGGTCGTCCTCCCGAATGGCCTCTCCACTTCCCAGCCTGGTCCCGTGGCCGCCCTCCCGAGCGGTCTCTCTGAACTCCTGTCGGGCACCGGGTTATCCTCCTGGTGGTTTTATCTTTTGAGGGTTTTGTTTTCCGTGTGCCTCCCTCCCTGCTTGGTCCTGTTCTGGTTTTGGTTTTTGGTTTGGATGTCTGCGAGCCATCCTCCGATCGTTTTCTGTTTTACCTCGTCTAGCATTATAATCGAGTTCACCCACAACATTGTCGGTAGCTTCACGCGCCAATTCCTGACACAACGTAGTTGTACGTCATACCCATAAACAAACATAATAAAACAAAAAAGCAGACGAGTTCAAAATGAAAGCAGCACCTACCTTGACTTTCAGTTTCTAGTATCAAACTCCCAAAACTCTACATCTTATACCTACCATAATGCATTTTGGTAGCTCTCTTTACATTGTTAATGCTTGGCTAACACTCACAACTGTCAAACTTCACACCTTTACTTTTTAAATGTACCCGTTCTCTCATAAATAAATAAACAAAACAAAACAAAAGGAACTAAGTTAATGTCAACTCATCCTGAGACACAAAAGACATTACATAACTATTTTCATAGGCTGAGTGTGTTAGGGCAGCTCTCTCTCTCTCTCTCTCTCTCTCTCTCTCTCTCTCCCCCTCTCTCTCTCTCTCTCTCTCTCGCTCTCACTGTTTTTCCTCTCTCTCCCCTCTAGCAGGCAGGTGAGGACTCAGGTGTGAGGGCTCATCATCTTATCTGGCAGAACCTACATAACCTCTAAGCTAGAGCTCCCTAGTTGCCAGTCTGTTGTGGAAATCTTCCAAGACACTCCTGGCTCTTTTTTCTATTGATCAAGAGAATCTGAAAGACTTCTTCAACTCTGCCATTCAGCTACTTGTTATCTGATCTGCCAATGACGCTGTTGCCTGCTAACTCCTGTTCACTGACTTGTGAGTACCTTAAATACCAGCGATGCCAGCGTTGACTCCTGTCCAGCATAATCTGCTGTCTGTCCCTGAGAGTCAGCGATGCCGTCACACTTCTACTGCCAGTCTGCTAATCTCAGCGTAGCCACCACTTCAGCCTTCAACTATTGCTCCTCTGCACCGATTCTCCACTACGTGATCTACATCCCCTGCCTTCGCCTGCTTGCACGTGTTTCCCTGAATCACCAGCTAGGCTGGCACTACTCACATCCACCTTTACCATCTCCAAGCTCCAGTCCTACCAATTACTCTTTCCACCTCTGTCTTGTTCCTGTGAATGCCTGGGCCTGCGACGAAGCGGTTTCACTCCTGTCCGGTCTGCTCTACTCTCCTGAAATTCCAGAACCTCTGGCTGAACCAACTCCTGCCCTGTTTGCTCCACTCACCTCTTGTCCCGAACTTCCATCTGTACCATCCCATCTTCAGTCTGCTGCACTCACCTGTACCCTCCTGTGCCTCGGTTCTCACCAGGTCCATGCCTCCCAGTCCATGGCACACCTGGATCCTCCTTGGGTGCCAGACCTTTCACTGGTCCATGTGTGTATCTCTGGCTACCTTGTGACAGCCACTATCTGCTGCTGGTTCACTCATCCATCATGCTCCTGGTTATCTGTCCTCTTGGTTTGACCTCTTGGCTTCTCCATCATTCCAGCCTGCCCTTCGATCAACCTAGCCCCATCCATCACAGGGTGTTCCCGTCTGCTAGTTCTAGAGTTCTGCCTGATAGACCAACCCCTGCTTAACTGTTACTTAATAAAAATCGGAAGTTTGGATCTTGTCCAAGTCTATCTTCTGAGTCCTAACTGCCCATGTCTCTCCATATTGGACCCACTGGTCCTAACAAAGTAGAACTAGCCATGGCAAATAAAGTAAGCTTTATATGTAAAATGGGTAGAGGACCCCTTTGCGTGATCAAGCCTGTGTTTTTGCATGTCTCAGCTCATCTTCTATGAGCAGTATTTTATCATCTATGCTGACTAGGTTTTTGCTACCTTTCAGGCATTGATTTCCAGGTTATATTTTTGTATTATGTGCTTCAGCTGCGCGAGTGTCTGGAGCCAGAAGTCTATGAGCTGTTCCACAAGAAGCTGACAGAGCAAGCTCTAATCAAGGATCCCAAGTTCCTCTGGTGCTGTCATGTGAGTATATGATTGATCATGCTTGACTTTGTCAAGAAACATGATCAAAATAAAGCAGTATTTTTATGACTCCAATCACAAACTATTTTGCCAGACTATTTAATTATGTATTTGTATTGTCATTGTACCAATTACCTGTTTAAAACTCAACATGTTGTGGTGCCAGAACCATACAGACAATAGCAGAATTTCCTATAGAAAACCAGCTCTCTCGGTGCTAAGGCACCAGTGATATGATTGGATTAATCATTACCTATTCACCCAGCTCTTTTGCTCCTCATAGTATACATGAATCAAAATTGTAGGTGCAATTGCAGTCAGTGCACCCAAGACCTAAAGTTTTGCACTTGTCATTTCACAGATAAAACATTGCTATATTTAGATTTGGTGATATAGTGCATTATCAAGGCCTTTTCATTAGTGTGCAGTAAATTAAATAGTTATATTTGCATCATAATGCTTTACTTTTAATGAAAGAGTAGCCACTTATCTGACACTTCTGCTTTATTGTCTTTAAAGCACAGTTCAGCTGAATGAAACACAAAATTACTGTTTTGTTTTTTTTTTGTTAAAATCCATGGTTCATTTTGTAATTTGTACAACTGAGTACGGTTAAATTACACGGAATGTATAAGCCAGTATTATCATATTAGATAATACTCCTCCCTCCTGCCTTCTGTCCTCAGTGTTCATACGGGTTCATCTATGATGGAGACCAGCTGAAGGTCACCTGTTTTCAGTGTCACAACAGCTTTTGTGCTCAGTGTAAAAAACCTGTAAGTATTCTGTGTCTTTGTAAACTTGTCTTTTGCCCCCAGTTTTTAAAGGTATATCTTAATCATTTTAAATGTTGAGAAAATTAAAACTGTGATTCTTAGGACACACTAGCAATGGCCACCAGTCACCACATAGGACAAAGGCAGAAGACAACAGGATGCCACTCTGAGTATACTGTTTTTCTGCTCTGGTTTAATCAAAAATTAAGTTCAAGTACCCAATGTCTGTGTGACTGTCACAGACCTACAGAGTGTTGTTATCCAAGGACAGAAGGCAAGCTACTAAAATGAACTCTTTTTCCACTTGATTAGAAAGTGCACATTTGGAAATCCTGGTTCCACAGAACCTGACTTTTATTTTGTTGCATTTCCTTCCTGGTCCCTTGTTCTCACCACTCTTGTTACAAGCCCTGATCGCACTCATCTGTACAGTCAATCTGCCAACATAAAGCCATTTTCTCACACATGCTGCTAGTTGGTCTGTACCCCTTCTCTGTGGTTTCCACTTCACAGACTCTCCAGCACTTGTTTTCTCCTACTTCATTGTTTGGACCCGTAGCAGGTGATTTACCATGAAAGTTTCTAAGGTCACCTAGTATCTAAGCTTCTTGTTTTGACATGTGTCCACAGAACTAGAGTCAGCTTTTCTTTAAATGCTTCCACAAAGCTATGCACAAGTCCAGGGGAACTTGTATAGGATAGCAGTTGAAAGAGGGTTTGTTTCATCCCAACTTGAACACAGGTACTCTACACATGTATTCCATAACACAATTTCAGTTACACATTTCAAATCCATGTTTTACTGTCAGATCTTTGTATCAATCCATGGTTAAAGTGTTTTTTTCAGATGTCTCTGCATCTAAATCCCAGCTTCACCATTCTCATTGCAAGAAAAAATCTGATTGCAGATTCAGTGTCTTCTCCGTGCTTTGGCCTCCATAGGCCCAACATTATCCACACCTACACTAGTGAAAGGTGGTTTGTCTGGTAACAGAAAAGATGTATTATAGATACTGGACTGAAACATGGTCCCCATTCCATCCACTGAAAGTTGCTTGCCTGGCGCATTCACCAAAACCTTTCTTGCGGGTTTGCTTCTGTGTTGGGTGGCCCACTGCATGTGCACATTTGTGTTCTCATCATACCCTTCACTCAGCTAGGCCAGTGTGAGCGAGCTTACTGCGTTCTAGACACGGAACAGCTTGTTCATAAGTGCAACCAGAATGCATGAATGCTAGTGAATCAGAGAGACATATTTCTGTATGTAACAGCAACAGTTTGGCAAAGGTACTGGTCTGCACTCTGTTCATTATATGTGGCTTTACAAGTAATTCACAGCTGTTACCTTATTGAAAAGTAAATTAACATGGTACCTCTACATTTAATAAACCTTTATCTCTGTATTGCTCTAAAATTAGTGTTGGCAATACTTTCTCTGGCAAGTAATGCTCATAATTTTGCATATGTCAGATTTGACTGTTAAATGAATAATGCATATATTGCTGCAGCTCCTTTATTAGAGACTATTCCCAGACATAGGTCACATAATCTGTAAGAGTAAAGAGAATGTATATTCTGGTTATGATGCACATCGATGAAGTGAAGTACACTGCAGGAAATGTCAGTTCACCTTGGATCATTTGGCCACAATCTCAGAAGGAATCTAAAATTAAAATGCTGAAGATGACTATGATAGCTGACTCAGTTTCTCAAATAAAAAGTTAATCTTGTGTTCCTAGTTTGTTAGTTCTCAAAACGTTAGGTTTGAATATGCGCTAATTCCTTAAGGCTGCTTGGTGTGAATCATTTATATGTAAGGCTTTAGCACTTATATTTTAGCACGTGTATTTTTATTTGTTTGGCTCTAGCGCTGGTCATAAACGTGTTTTTAATTAATTTATTAAATATCCTGGGCTCCTGTTTGATAGGCAGGGCTCCTACAATAGTATCCCAGTGTATAAACTCATCAACAACTTGGACTATTGAAGCTGCCTATGACTGCAAAGCAAATGCACAAAATTTACAATGACTCTCTTTACTTGACTTGTTGGGGCTGTGGTATTCATACCCCCTGCAGTTTAGTTACCATGATCTGAAACTTGTTTTGAAATTTAAATGTGACACATAAATCGCACATTTGTCTGAAACACTTGATGCCTGCTGTATGACTTGTGTAACATTTGGTACCTTGTAAACTGTAAGATTGGATTTGTTTGATAAAATACTGCCTAAGCTCCACACAGGAAGACCCTGAAAAACAGGTTTGCCTATTTCACTTATAAGTAAACTAAATATTGCCAACCTTCGCCTTCGAAAAACAATTTAACTTCATACTAAAACTGACAGAATATCGGTCTTTCTTTCAAATAAGCTAGACTACAGAGCCATACCAACAGTGAACCAGTGTTTGCTGGGTGGTTTCCTGCACTTTTTGACTCCTGCTTAGACTGGCTACAGCTTTGTTTAAAAAGCTACAGTAAAAGTGTTTGGTGTGCCATTCTTTAGGAAGGGGAATTATCCCTTTGCCAGCAGTCTTTAGATAAATTCTGTTTGGATCTACACTCAGTTGGTAGTTTATTTGGTACACTTAGCTAAAATATATGCAGTCTACCCCAACAACCTTGTAATAAATCCTAGAGAGGTGATGATTCAGCCATTTTTACATAACTGAAAATAAAACACTTTCAGTCCCTTTTAAAGCATTGATTTCAGGAGGGAAAGGAGAGTTAGTTACCAGTATAACATACTGTATGTGTATGTTTCTGTGTTGTCTCTGCAGTGGGAGTCTCAGCATGCAGGTCTGTCATGTGAACAGTACCAGTCATGGAAGAGAGAGAACGATCCAGAGTATCAGAGACAAGGTCTGGCTGGATACCTTCGAGACAACGGCATCAGTGAGGACACTCTCTCTCTCTCTCTCTCTCTCTCACACACACACACACACACACACACACACACACACACACACACACACACACACACACACACACAGTGGTCTTACTATAGGTAGCCTCTTACCCTAACTATAACCATCACAATTAACTGTCTAACCCCACCCCTTATCCTAATTCTAATCTGAATTTAATTACTGTATACCCTCAACCCTAAAGCCAAGTCTTAACCCTCTGATGTGGTGTCAGAAAGTGGGTTCATAATGTCCTCACTTCCATGGTTTTAAACTCAAAACTAATCCTCACAGTGTGGAGCCATACAAACACACACACACACACACACACACACATTCCTACAGTGTTATTTTCTGACAGCAATTGTTGAAGATGGAATGTGCTGCATCTGTAGCCTGAAGTACCTTAACAATACATTTGTGATTAACAGGTGAATGGTAGACAGCATTTCTTCCAGCCCACATTCTTATTTGAATAAGCATAATCACACAAAAACTCCCAAGAAACCACACCATCATTTTACTTCCTCACACCTAACCTTATTACATTTTCAACTTTAAATTAAAAGTAGAAAAAAAATGAAAGTGAATATGTGCTATTTTTATGCCTTTTCCCTATTGTCATAAGTATCTGAAAGTGCTTCAAAAATATGAGAGAGATTACATTTTGTGGCCATTTTGTAAGCATAATAAGAAAAATGATAGCTTTTAGGTTTCTGATGGTCATTTTTGAGTTGAATTCAGAGGCTAAGTCTATAAAACCTGCTCTGCATTAGTGCAGTTCTAATTGCCCATAATCATTTTGAAAGAAACACATTTAGGCAACATGGGCAATAAGCATAAATCATGTTGTTCATATAATAGTTCAGTGACTTCAGTGGCCACAAAGGGAAAATCCAGTGTGGCTGGGAAGATGGTGTTCAGATAAATAGTAAAGGTCTCCTGCCCTCTGATTCTCTCCTGGCACAAGTTTAGTCCATCACCCATGGCTCACCAGTCTTTTTAGTGAGGCTGTTGCCTTCAGTTTAACCTTCCCTCAGGAGGCACAGGGCTGAAACACTATAATATTAAATCTATACATGCTGTATTTGCTCATTAGATGAAAACAGTTTTCTTAAAAATATTGACACAGCTCCTCCCTCTCTCTGTGTTCCCTCTTTTGTCTCACCCTTCACATCCTGCCTCTCCTCCTCAGCATGTCCAAACTGTCGCTTTCAGTACGCGCTGTCTAAAGGAGGCTGCATGCATTTCTGCTGCTCACAGTGTCGATACCAGTTCTGCAGTGGCTGCAACAACCCCTTCCACACTGTAAGTCTGACACATACTGTAATCCTGATCATGGAGCGATTATCAGAATATAAAAGAGACAATATCATATTTTATTAGGAGAAATGATGGTCCACAGATCAGTCGTTATTACTACTCAGGATACATTTTTACAATTTAAAATATTTAAATCTGGGCCCGCTTTCATAAACACTCAGAGACTGACTCCCAGAGAGCTTTTAACTTAGCCTGAAAACTAGTGGTTAACTGATATGGGTGTTTCAATGGCCTACACCAATGCAGATTTCTTTTAGAGAGCAGAGACGCTGACATTTAATGCCAATATCATGCCCTAATCCTAACCCTAACTCCCCCCTCCATAAGCCTACACCGATTTAATAACAAATGAAAACAATTGAGACATATATTTCCTGAACTGAAATGAACATTTATTTAATCTTAATGAATTCTGAAGATAAAAACTAAATATGAGCTGTCTCTCATTTGCTACAATCTGCACTCACCTTATTTTAAAATAAAAAATGTTTATGATGTTTATGAAAAATCAAAAAACCAAACAGTAATAAACCTTTATGAATAAAAGATAAATAATAACATTTTAACAGGGCCCCAAACTAACATTTTACACTGGTGCCATCTGGTTTGAATTGGTTGGATTGTGGCATTCTATTGAAAATCTTCATTTCTGAGTAAATCATCTTTTAAGCAGGAATTCAGGGTTTTAATCATCCTACGGTGACTTCCCGCTCTACGTAGCGGCTCTATTGGTGCTTTTCCTCTCTTCCTCCCTCCACAGGCCAGGGCCCGGGGGGGAGAAGCTGCAGCCTACTCCCTCTTTCGGCTGTCTTCCTTCAGTTACTCGGTCTTCTTGAAGTCAGAAAATCAACCAGAGAGAGCCTCCAGCTGCAACCGATGAACAACCATAGTTCCTTTGTTTCCTGTGGTTTTTAAAGGATTCTTGTCAGTAGACTTCGTCCTCTCGTCCAACCAAATGCTACAGTTTGCAGTTAATACCTTATTTGGCGTGCAAAGTCATGTTTTTCAGAGCTATTGCATATCTTTTACTGTCAAAGCTCAAGCCCACTGGCCTCCACCCCATCTTCAGATTCTACTTCTCTTTTCTTAGCAAACTAAATCATCCTAATATCTAATAAAAGCACTGGAAACTCACATCTGATTGAAATACAAAAATCCCATCATTGCTTTTAACTAAACAATCAGAATTACACACTGATCTTACACAAGACTATCAATGCCTTAAAATTAAAACATGGATCTCTATATTTTGACTACACTTCATTAGACATTGATTAAACAGTAATTATCAACCTAATCTTTACTTTATGCATGGAACCACCATTTTTTACTTTGTCAAAAACTCAGTGTCTCTTTTTATTTTTTCTTCTCTCTCAGTCTCACACACACACACACACACACACACACTCCTTGCACTTCCTCTTTGTAGGGATGTGTGTTACTTTTCTCTTTCTTTGAATCAGCATTACTTTTTTATCCACTTTTTATATTTAGATTCTATATGTAAAATCACTTTTCATTGTTTTTCCAATACAATCATTTCACATTTTATTCTTACACATTCACTGATTATTTCAAAGAAAACACACACAAATCATCTTATGATTATCCTTACTTACTAAATATTTTAACTTTCTATTTTATGTATTTTGCCATAGCATTTTAACTATTTCTCTTCCTCTTCCAGCTCCTCTTGCTGTTTCCCTCCTCTTCTTCAACATCAGATTCGGCCTGCCATTCATCCACCACCAAATATTCAGCATCCTCTTCCATCTCTTCCAGGCAGGAGTCTGCTGATTCCATTAGACCAGGTGTGATGGGGGAATACAGGCTTTCCCTCAATTCCCCCATAACCTCTTCTTCCTGCACTGAGATATTCTCTGTCACGAGTGCAGTTCCTTCTGGCTCATGCAGCTCATTCTCAGCCTCTTTTGGCTTGTTTGTCATCTCCTTGCATTCTCCTTCATCATTTAGTGGCCATTCCCATATTTCTTGTAACCATTCTTGCTGTTCTTGGGGGCTTTCTAAATGCAAAGAGACAATTTGTTCAATAGTCTCCTGCAGCTCTTCTTGTAAGGTCATTTATGATTGATCATCAGAGGCCTGCACTGCTGTTATGGCTTGTGTTTCCTGGGCTGTTTTTTGGTTCTCTCTGGGACCCATTTTTACAGCTTTGCCAACAACTGTTTCACGACACTCTGAGCTACAAGGGCGACATTATCCTGACGTGTTGTAGTTATTCTGGCAGTCGGGGTTTGTTGTTATAGGAAACTGAAGTGCCGATATCAGCACCACTTGTCAAGTGAAGGCTTTATGTGCATAGACAAGAAGCTGGTTAACAGAAAACATGTTCCTTTTACGCTGTAGTAATGTGCTTTATATGAACTGGCTTTCTGTCATTGGCTGTTAGTTTACTGGACAGCCACCCATAATGCCCCTCACCTGTGTGAAATTATCTTCATCAGCCCTGTTTTTTCTAATTCCATATATGTATTCAGGGGGAGCATTATTATTTTCAAATAAAAGTTTCAGTCCACTTTCACTGTCACTTGAGTCATGAGCAGGTCCACTGGGGCTGCTACATCCAGTAAATCAAGGATCACATAGTTCACCACCACTTAAGTGTTAATGCTGTAGGAACATTTTCTGATCACAGAAGCGCGTTCATTGGTGTTCAGGGTGATATTCTCTTACCGCAACATTTCAGCCAATCATGTATCTTGATGACGCAGCTCTGTTAGCCCGAGGCAGCAGGATTACTCTGCTGATAGTTGTTCTACGTATTTGATTGCTTAAGTGCATTTACCATGCTGGTAATTTTAGTATTTATTCACTTAATATATTTGATATTAACAAGGGAAAATTGCTCAAAAATGGTATAATGATGTGTAGGCTATTCCCATGAGCCTGTAAAATGTGAACGTACAGTGGAAATGAAATGTAGTGCGTCACAATATGAGACATAAAAGCCCTGTATCTGTGTGTATGACACACTCTGCTGACAGGAGGTTGCAACACAAATGTCATCACTGCTGCACTGTTTCATTTTTAGTTGCCAAATAAGTTAATGTTGTGTTCACTTTCATTTCTGGCGTTATTATTGCATTGGGTGGGAGATGTGTGCAAATCTCTAATGAGGTCAACCATAAACATTATCAGTGAATGGTCTAATCTGTAACATTTAACTCACTGTTATTCAGTGTTGTCTTTCTGTTATCTTATACTTAGGAAACTCCTAAGCTTCTTAAAAGTCCTCCTCCTCCCTGCTCCTAACAGTTTTCCACCTTAGGAGCTCTTTTACAGGCTAAGATGCTTCATGAATTAGTTTTATCTTTACTCAGATCTACTCTTAAGATTAAAGGGGAAATCTTGGGAAATGCCCACAATTCTAAGATTTTTCTTAGCGTTTTATCACTAGGAGAAACTAGTGCAAGCTAGTAGTGTTTATGAATATGGGCCCAGGCTTGTTCTTAAGTTGTCAAGCGTGTCACGCCGTCAGTCATGATCATGAAACAAATGCTCAAATGCCTAAAGGCGTTATCATAAAATCTCAAATAAAGCTCTCAGAGGTGATTGCCATTACAAGCCAGCTGAAACAGCCACTGTTTCACCTGAGCAACTATAATGCAAATGCTCTGTGTCCAACCACATATCTGCTCTTTGCTTTGTGTTAAGGGAAGGTTAGGTCTGGACAGCATGGCCTGATACCCCCCTCTTTGGGGTCAAATAATGGTAACCATCATTTAACTCATATACTGAGCTACCATATGAATGCTCTCCCATTCTTTGGCACATTTAATTGTGTATTATTGACTGATACGGAAGGTAAGCATGGAAGAAGTGTTAAGTTTGCAGTTACAACAAGAGCATATAGGAACATAGGGAGACTTCTCACTAAAATATGATGAACTATACAGTACCTCTAAAACAGGGTAAATTAGAAATGAGGGCCTCTTTCTATTTCACTGGGTCAAATAAAGACCTGAGCTCTCTGCCGCTGAGATACAAAAAAAGGTGGTCATTGTGAGATACAAAGCTAAAGTTTTTTTCATCAGTTTATTTACTGAACTTTTTAACAAATCACTGAACTGAAAAGACAGATAGACATGATAGCTGTTAGACAAAAATGAATTCAAACCTTAAAATTCAGATTCACCTTTAAGTGTCCAGAAATTACAGTCTGTCTCTTCTTCAACCTCGGGTCCTTTACCACAAGCCTGGGAGTTTGAGGGTTCTGCACAGTATCTTAGCTGTACTTAGCGTACTTAGCACTGCACTCTTCTGCAGTTTTCCTGCAGAGAGCTCTGATGTTGTTCCTGGAATTTGTTGGAACCATTCTTCCACTTTAGGAGTAACAGCTCCAAGTGGTCCTACCACCACTGGGACCACTTTGGCCTTCACCTTCCACATCCTGTCCACTTCCTCTTTCAGGCCCTGGTACTTCTCCAGCTTCTCATACTCCTTCTTCTTGACGTTGCGATCATTTGGAACTGCTACTACCTCCTTTTGCTCCTTGTCTGCTACCATGATGTCTGGCTGGTTGGCCAGTACTTTCCTGTCTGTCTGGATCTGGAAGTCCCACAGTATCTTAGTCCTGTTATTATCCACATCCTTCTGAGGAATATCCCACTGTTAACAGTATCAGTCTTAGAGTGAATTAAAATATAGAAATACATTAAGCTCTCGGTGATCCCACTGTTGAGGACTCATAAAAGTTACATTTATGCTAAAAACTAAGATTGTAAAGATAATTTGGTTCATTCATTCACTTTCTACCGCTTAGTCCCAGAACGGGGTTACAGGGGAGGTGCTGGACCCAATCCCAGCTGGCAATCGGGCGAAGGCAGGGTACACCCTGTACAGGTCGCCAATCCACGTGCACACACACACACTCCTATGGGCAATTTAGAGACACCAATTAACCTAAGCTGCATGTCTTTGGACTGTGGGAGGACGCCAGAGTACCCGGAGAGAACCCACGCAAGCACAGGGAGAACATGCAAATTCCATACAGAAAGGTCCCGGGTGGGGCCCGGGTGTGAGGCAACGGTGCTAACCACTGCGCCAACGTGCTGCCCAGATAATTAGGTTCAATATGTTATTTCCAAACTATATTGAAATTATCCCTCTATAAATACTTTTTCAAACATTAGTTAATTAAAAAAATCTTTAAAAGTTGATCTAATCATTACTTTGTGTCACTTGGAATGACAGCGTAACCTGACCACCCACACAGAAACAGGAGTGAACTTCTCACAGTTAGAATGAGCTGCTTCAAAGGTGTGAATGTGCCTTAAGGTTACTTCAGAGGTGATTTACATCTGACATAATGTGAACAAGTGACAGATGTCTCCTATTCTCTTGACCTCACATCAGACCTGTGCTGTGGATGAATGCAGTGTATCTGGTCTACATGCTCATCATCCCAGAGACTGCCTCTTCTATCTGAGAGACTGGGAGCCTTCCAGACTGCAAGCGTTACTGCAGGTACACAAACACACACACCATCATGCTTATTGTTTTTAATGCTGTTACTGTGGTTTACACTTCAGGGGTCATTGTACAAAATAATGTATATCAGACTAATGTTACTAACATTTGTTGTTCTTTTCTTTATGATTCCTAGAATAATGGAATGGCCTTCAACACTGAACCCCCTCCCGGAACACAGACAGGTGAGCCAGGCATATATTTATATTTCTATTAATGTCATGAAAGTTAAAATAAATATTTGAATTATATTTTACTTTAAACCCTTTAAAGTGACATGAGCAGAGAAAAAAATCCAAAGTTTCTAGTGCATAAGTAGAAACTGCAAGCAGTAGCCTATTTATTAGGTACACCTAGCTAAAACGAAGACACTAATACATCTATCTATACATTGATCCATTTTCTTCTTTTTATCCAAGATTGGGCTGTAGTAGCAACAGGTTCAGTAAAGTAGTCCAGACCTCTCTCTCCCTGGCAACATTCTCCAGCTCCTGCAGGATTCTCAAGCATTCCCTGTTCCGATGAGATATATAAGCTCTCCTGCATGTTGTGGGTCTACCCCGGGGTCTCCTAACAGTTCGATGTGCCCAGAAAACCTCCAAAGGGAGGCGCAATGGAGGCATCCAGATAAGATTCCTGAACCCCCTCAACTGTCTTCATAGTAAAGAAGCAACAGTTCTACTCCAAGCCCCTTCTGGATGTCCAAATTCAGCACCCTATCTCTTAAGACTAAGTCTGGCCATCCAGCAAAGGAAACTCATTTGCTTGTATTGGCAATCTTATTCTACCCATTATAGCTCGTGACTATAGGTAAGTGTTGGAGCATAGACTGACTGGTAAATTGAGAGCTTTGCCTTTTAGCTCAGCTCCTTCTTCAGCACAACAGTCTGATACAATGTCCACCTTACTGCTGATGCTGTCCCTATCTGCCTATCAATCTTGCGTCTCTTGCCTTCTCCAGGTTTACAAAGCACATGTAGATGGTAAATGGTCTTATAGTGCTTTTCTGTGTATTGCAGCAAACTCAAAGCACTTTCACGCTATTTGGCCATTTACACTCACACACACTGGTGTCATCACCAGGAGCAACTGGAGGTTCAGTGTTTTGCTCAAGGTAGATTGGACAAACCAGGAACCACTAATCTTCCAATTAGGAGACAACCCACTGTGCCTCCTGAGCCACAGCCGCCCCTTAAACTGGATGGGCAAACTCCCAAGATCCCTACAGTAACAAGAGTAAAGAGCTGGTCTACTATTCCACAACCAGCAAAGAATCCACATTATTCCTACCAGATATGAGGTTCGACAATCAGTCTGAGCCTCCCATCAACAACCCTGGCATAGGCTTTTCCCAGGGAAGCTGAGTAGTGTGATACCTTGATAATTGGAGGACACTCTCCCATCCCCCTTTTTACGTATGGGAACCACCACCCCAGTCTTCCAGTCCTCAGGCACTGTCCCTGTCCTCTACACAGCATCGAAGAGGTGTGTCAACCCAGACAGCCCAGCTATATCCAGAACCTTCAACATCTCAGGGTAAATCTTATCCAGTCCTGGTGGCTTGCCACCAAGTAGCTTTTTGACTACCACAGAGACCTCTGCCAGAGACATGGGTGAAGCTCCTCCTGAGTTTTCCAACTCTGCCTCCTTCTTAGAGCTTCTTCCACTGACTGATGGTATCCCCAGTCTGAGTCAGCTCACAAACCACCAGCTGAGTGCTGCTGTGTTGGAATTCTCCCCAAAGAGTCAGATCGATCATCAACTTTGTTGTCGTATCATCTGATCTGTGGCCGTATGTCTTGGACACTCTGATGAAGACATTAATACAGCTACTCTGCAATAAATGTAATCTTTAGGAAAGTTACATTATTACAGAGGTGCTGGTTCAACTTTAGGTTGTGATGTAGAAACAGTAACACAAACTGCAGCCTCCACAATGATCATAGAGTTGAATCATAACTGTCTGATACAGTTTGAACACAAACTGAATATTATTACCTTGACAAAGGAGAATTTTTTACAGGACTGTTGGACGAGACTTTCTAGATTTAACTTAGTGTCCCTAATAAACAAACAACGGAGTGAATTTTCTGATAATTCTAGTGTTAGGAACCAAATTCACACAGCGCCAGAGGGTACAGGGAATTGGGGAACAGAGTTTTATTATAACACCTAACCACAGAAATGGCATACCCAAAGTAAAATTAATACTAATCTTGGAATTTCACTCATTTTATTGGTGTCTTTTTAACAGTAATACGTTTTAGTTTATGATAAAACATTTAGAATTAATTTAAGTTGTATTTAATTAACCTTACAGAGGTACAGACCTGGTTAAAAAAATTACATTTATCCTTGCCTAAATTTATTTATTTATTGGCATAAAACAATACGAGGAGACAAATATAGGTCAAAGTTTGGTGAGGAAAGGACTATAATGAAACATTTTCTGTTGATCTATCAAGGATTTGTCCAGCTGGACACCACAAAATATAGCTGACATTTCGACCCACCAGTGTTCTTACTCACAGACTGGCCAATCAAAATGTGAAGCACAAGCCTTTAAAGGGTGGTGATGTTTTTATTTATAGCGCTAGCTGCTACAAACACTGTAACAGTTTCCCTTGGCAATGACATTTAAAAATTTAATCCCAGCAGCAAACAAAGCAAAGAGGAACACACCTCAAACAACTGTGGTTTTATGGATATTTTAAGGATTGCAGACAGAAGGACTAAAATTTTGAATTTTCTTTTTTTGTTGGACTTCTACTGAGCAAACTGACTAAAGCTACTGGCTGTAGAGTATTAGGATCCCTCAAAAGATGACAGAAAAGGTAATAAATTACAGTTTTGCTTTGTATGCCCTCATATTTAAAATAACAGATGTTCCTGGGATAGCAGTATCTTAAATTGGTTTACACTGTTAAAATCATGAGTAGATGTGCTTTCCAATAATATAAAGTTTGTTAACTTATCTTATGAAATGATGATGTCATTCATCAGTGTTGTGAAGCGGTGTAGTAGGAAAGCTTGGTAACACAGCTCATAATATGAGCAAACAATCAGAAACAAGGAGATATTAAAGTCTGTCATAAACATTGGCAACAACTCGTAATGTGATGTCCAGATGTGACAGCTCCCAGACGTGAAGCCACTGTGGCTGGTTTCACTATAAATCACAAATCCTTTATGTTAGTGGAAGGGATAAGAGGCGAATTAAAAACTCAAAGGACAAATCAAATAAATTGTTCCCAGAGGTGATTTCTGTCATTTTTTTGTTGGATAACATCACACTGATTTGTTTTTTTTCTTTTTTTCGTTTTTTTGAAAGGTTGTTTTTAATAAGTTATTTGATGGTGTAAATAGGTGTGTATTTTGGATGATTTGACAGCTTTGACTGGTGGTCCGATATATCAGTCAACTACTCGCTTGCTTCTGTGTAGAATGTGGTTGCAAAATGCCAAGACTGCAGCAAATGTGTTCACAATATTTTGGCTTCACTTTTGCATAGTGGTGGGACGTGGTGATGTGTTATGCATCTTTATACAGTCTAAGAACAGTTATTGATCAGAAAACTGAGTCTAAAAATGAACATGATAAATTAGAACAGAATGCTGATCAGAGTGAAAGGTGATCACAGGCAAGGACTCAGTCGATCAATGTGAAGAATACTGAGAAAAAAACATGGGAACAATGAAACATGAATGCTGACCTAAATACAAGTGAGACACTCTTGACACTTCTCTGCCACATGTGCAATCTGGCAGTTAGTAGAAGTTGGGTGGTGACTTTTGTATTGGCTGGTTAATTGTGCATGATGTGCTGCAGGAGCATGAAATTAGCTGGCTGGAGCAGATAAAGAGAATGTAATAAAATAAATAAAAGCCTGTCACAGGAAGTTTCTCATGCGCACACACAAAAAGAGTAAGCTTTTGTAATTAGTTATATTCAGGATGACAGCAAAGGTAGGCATATTTACCTTCTTGAAATAATGTTTCATTGGCAACTATGCCCAAAAGCATAGTTTCTTCTATGAATAAACTATAATCCACTTAGGACCAGATTTATTAAGGGTTCATAAAATTAGAAGAGGTCTACTATAAACTTCAGAATGCATTAAATAATGTACAGACAATAAACACATGGAAACAAAAAAGATATGAAATGTTATAAGAGATAGAGATGTTCAAATTAGACAGTTCACCACAACCAGTGGTAAGAGAGAGAGAGACAACAAAAAGGACTCTGATCAGCCAGGTGGAAATGGTGTTGACACTGTTTTTAAAAGTGAGATAAATGAGACACACACATTTAAATGGTCATAAAAAATGAAGAAAAGTTTGGCTGTAGCCTGTGTCACAGTGCCAGTCCCGGTCCTGTCTGTCCCTGTCAGACTGTTTCTCCTGATGCTAGTGCTAAGCCCACTAGCAATTCACTTCTTTGAGAGAACAAAATGAACTGAAAAGTGACACCGTGGTGGCCATATTTCTGCTGGACAGATCATTATTGCTTTTGTTTTGTTTGGGGACATTTGTTATTTTCCTGAAACATGTAAGTAGTAGTCAGGCAGTGCATGCTGTGTTTTGGAGGAGTGCCTTTGGAGAGAAGTCATTATGAAAGGGTGGGATTTCTTCAGTTGTCTAATATCAAAATTGAGCTTCCTCTTGCTGGTTTTTCCAGGATTGCCAGCCCTACCTTTAAATGTATATGCTTTGATGAAAGAGGCTCACCTTGACGACATTTGCAGACATGCTAATTTAACATGCAAACTGTGATCCTAGGTTGCTGTCTGTTTGATAAATACAGCATGTTTGTCACAATGCATCACATTGAAAACTGAAAATTGACCAGCACAAATACACACTAATGGTAAACATTCACTTTTGTTGTTGTCTGGTGTTAGTTTGTGTATTAATTGACTGCTCAATCAATGTATAAACAATACCTTTAGCTAGAAAATTGCATTTTTTGAAGAAAATGCGTATGGATGCTGAATGCTGAAAAATCGCCCTAAAAATGTTTGACACCATTCAGGTGTCAAAATGTTGAACATTTTGACACCTGAATGGTTTTGATAGCTGAAAGACTAATGGGGCAAAATTTTCAAAATAAAGCTAAATATTTCAAAAGTATGACATTTAGAAAAATTCTGAAGAGAAGCATGAATGTCCTTGAAGAGCTGAACATTTTAATAGCTGAAATAGCTGAAAGTATGCAGAAGTAAAAATTTCCCCATTCATTTGAATGGGGCAAGATTTTCAAAATAAAGCTAAATATTTTAAAAGAATGAAGTTTACAAAAGTTCTGAATAGAAGCATGGATGTCCTTAAAGACCTGAACATTTTGATACCCGAAATAGCTGAAAGTGTGCTGAAGTAGAATTTTCCTATTCATTTAAATGGTGCAAGATTTTCAAAATAAAGCTAAATATTTCAAAAGTATAAAGTTTAGAAAATTTCTTAAGAGAAGCATGAATGTCCTTGAAGAGCTGAACATTTTGATAGCTGAAAGTATGCTGAAGTAGAATTTTCCCATTCATCTGAATGGGGCAAGATTTTCAAAACAAAGCTAAATATCTTTAAAATATGAAGTTTAGAAAACTTCTGAAGAGAAGTATGAATGTCCTTGAAGAGCTGAACATTTTGATAGCTGAAAGTGTGAAGTAGAATTTTCCCATTCATTTGAATGGGGCAAGATTTTCAAAATAAAAAAGTATAAAGGTTACAAAAAAGTTGTACACACCCACGCATGTCCAGAAAAAGCCAAACATTTTGATACCTGAATGGCTTTTCTAGCTGAAAGTATGCTGAAGTAGTTAAGTGCCAAAAAACATACGAAATAATAATAATAATAAATAAATAAATAATTGGAAAACATAGTATGGATGCTGAATCAGCATCCATACAATTAATAGATTCAGATTTTAGTGACCCATTCTTTACATGTACATTACAGACTGTGCTTTTGCAATAAAAATAGTCCATCAGGCACTGAGAATGTTAGTGTTCAGCATTTAACTGATGGCTAGTGAGTTAGTCTTTTTGTATGAGTTATTGTTTAATAGTAAGCCTAAACATTTTACTGACTAAACTGTATTCCCTAGTAACAACTTTCAACTACTGTTCCTCATAACCTTTCAGTTAGAGGCTGTGAGAGTCTGTGAGAGATGGGGGAGAGAGAGGGATAGAGTCTGGGACAGAGAAAGAGACAGTAGCTGTGTTTTGACCAGAAAGTCCCTGGTACTTTTTATACCCAGGAACTAAAGCCTAAGAATTGTCCCTGGGGTAAAAGTCTCTTGAGATCATTAAGATGTGGATTTCCACAACAGGGCTGAAGCCCGGGGAAGCTTAAACAAATTATCCCACCCTGCTGACACAAAAGCATAACTCTCAGCAGGTTACCTCATATAAATTGCTTGCTCTGGTTAACACATACCAGCATTGTAGGACAGATGGCAGACAAAGATGAAATTATTGCTTTTCTGCAATCTTATGCTCACTTAACAGGTGACTTTTTTTTTTTTTTTTTTTTACTCACCAAGGTTTTATTGCTGGTACAGTAACAAGCACAGGGATTGTTAACTTAATGTTTTACTTAATTGATGTCATGCTCTCCACAGCCTCTGCTTGCTGTGCTCTGTGTGTGTGGAGGAATTGAGGGTGAACCCTTGGTCAAACACTATAAAAAGCTGCTCCAAAAACACCAAAACCATATTTTTCAATCAGCTAATCTCACTCACTGGTCTCTTTGTGTAGGCCTACTGATAAAATGTTCCTTACAAACCAAGAACCCAAGCAACTCAGTCACTGAAATCATTTCTCACATTGGAACACTGATTTTTACTCCAGTGATTGCACCAGAGAGCCCTGTATCTGACCACTCAGCAATGTTCAGCACTGCAGCCCTCCCCACTGATAGTACCTGGACCTTCAAAAAGTACAACCCCCTACAAGGTACTTTTATTGGGGGAGATTTATATCCCAGAACTAAAGTGGAAAGGACCCATTTCCTGTTTGACCAGTAATGTGAGCAACAGAAATTCTGAGGCCCGGGAACTTTTTTTTATTGACTAATATCTGTGCAAATTCTCAGTCATCCAGGTCATAGTAAACCGCAACCAAAATAACCTTGGAAATCAACTGGACTTGGATTTCTAGATCGAATTTTTCTAGAGACGTTTCACCTCTCATCCAAGAGGCTTCATCAGTTCTGACTGACTGGTGTTAAGTCAGAGATATTTATCCCCCTCGGTGTGGTTTCAGTCCTTAGAAGGCCAACAATGTCCATTAACGACTGAGTCGTTACAGCCCAGCCCAGTATCAATGAGGGTCGTTACCTGTCTTTGGATCCTCCCCTGTCAACCAACGCCTATTGTCCTGGTGGGCATGTTTGGGCAAAGATCTCAGAACCGGGTTGTAGATGGAAGACAAGTTGTGTCTTAGTCCACCACCCCTATTAAGAGAGGGGTGTTCTATTTTTACAAAAATAGCTTCCTTAACACCTCTCTCAAACCAGCGATGTTCTCTGGAGAGGATCTGGACTTCACTGTCCTCAAAAGAGTGTCCTTTCTCCTTCTGGTGGAGGTGGACTGCTGACTCTGGTCCACTGGAGTTGGCCCTCCTGTGTTGAGCCATGCGTTTGTGCGGCTGCTTAGTTTTATTGACTAATCATTTCAGTTTGATTAGTTAATAGCATTTTGTTGTAAAGTGGCCAACAGGTTTGTAGGTCTCATTCCTTAGAGAAAAGGTTCCTACAGTTATGAAACATACAATTTTTTAGGGTGTTATCCCTTACATATTCTTTCCATATTTTGTTTATTTATTTATTTTTGTGTCACTTAACATTTACTCCCACTGTCTTTTTCCCTTTGTTCAGGTCTGTGTGGAGTCATAGAGCAGAAGGATGAGGGAGGGCAGCAGCCAGATTCCGCCTGTGGAGCTCAGACTCAACCTGGACATGCTGGACTCTGCGAGTATGATGGCTTCATTCTGTATTATTTGCTTCTATCCCCAACCAAGGCAGCACGGTATAACTGCTCCAGAATGTGTTAGACTGTATTAGACCACTGAGACACTAAGATTACCCTAGTCGTACTTGTTGTTCATCTTTACACGTGGGCATTGGAATTAGGGGGTGAAGGGGCCATTGCCCCCCCATACACACACACTTTACGCCTCTGTCCCACAAGTCACTACTTATTGTAGACTATGCCTGTTTAAATAATTTCTGTCCACACTAAGACATTTGATAAAATCAAGCAGGCAAACATCAAACAGGAAGAAAATTTTAATTTTACTCCAATCAAAGAGGACACTGTGATTTCAAATGGATGCTCAGTAGGCTACAGGCAAACCTGTATACACATAGTTTTTTCTGAGCTGTTAACCCAGCTGGCTAAACTAAACAAGCATGTGAAAAGAACCAGTGAATAAGACAATATTTTAAAAAAAGTGATTTGATGTCCCCAACCCATTTGGAACCTGACCCTTCAACCCTAGAACCAGAACAGCCACAACCCCAAAGGTGCAGCTCCGTGCCTGCTGAGAATTTTGAAGCCATTGTAATTGAATTGAAACTGCCTAGTGCTCTACTTCAGTGTAGGCTGGTACAAAAACTGAGTGTTTAATTCTTTTCTAAAACACTAAGAGCTCTGTTTATACCTGCTAATGTTACTTTAACTGTTGCATAACAGGAATAATTGGGACATCTGCAGGTTATTTGCTATTTATTTTGGCTCATGAGCTGCTTTCATGTGTTGTTTTGTGTATCTTTGTGTAATAAGCAGGAAAGTGCCAAACACACAAATGCACAAAAAAGTAAATGAGCACCAGAGGAAAGGAAGGACAGCGGAAGGACAGCGATTGAAGTAATGTAGAAATTGCGCTGGCAGCAAAATGGAGCCCTAAATGAGCCTTCTGTGAAATATGCAGATTCACTGCTATCTAACAATGTAATATTTTCCACATATGCAGATGGCTTTTAAACTCTGGAATTAATAACTGGAAAAAGTGTCCATACCTCCTAAACAGCCATTAAAAGTCTCACTTTCCTAAAAGTATGTGTCCAAAAAAGTGTGCTTAAACCAGACAAGAGTACACTGAGCAGGAGAGAAGAAGGGATGGAATCATAGAGCAGCTACAGTATGCTTTTTGCAGTTTCTGACCCTAACAAGGGTTCACAATCAGGGGGCATATTCATAAGGAGACCAGCTTTCAAAAGCTGAGTGGTCATGCTACCTTCAGTAACACTCTAGTGGCACCACCTAAGTTTTGTTCATAATAGACTTCTAGGCACTCCACTTACCTGTATGGTTAGGCACAACATGCCTATGAAACCTCTAACTATATATATGTGTTTTTGTAAATATTACTTAACCGCAGGTCTGTTCAATTAGTGCTGCAGCTTTAACTGAAGCTTACTGCACCAGCAGTCCCTAAGTTCAAACATAGCCAGTTATAATGTATTTACTAGATTTATTAGATTTTCACTTTATTAAATAAAAGCATGTTGCACCAGCAAAGAAATACAATTGCCACAAATTGACCAGTTAGTTAGTCATTAATAAATAATCATGAATTCATCCATCCATCCATTATCTAGGATAGGTCATGGGAGGGGTTGGAGCCAATAATCATGAATAAAATAAAATAATTCATCAATACAAAAAGAGTCATGCCATTCTTCCCTCCTCTTTTTAACACTAACATTCACTTCTTCAAAGTCACTGACTGTAACATGAAACAAAGGAGGATGGAAAAAGCAGAGTGAATGAAAGATGTTCTACCAGTGAATGAATACATAAGGGGTTAGAAAGAATGTCAGAGCAGCAGAGTGGTAAGTATGACATGTTGGATTTAGTACTGTGGAAATGTACAAGAGATGTGGTAAATATGGGGGCTTCTTGCTAAAATATAATTAAAATTACTTAATTAAAACAGAGGTATAACGCTCTTTTTTATTTTGACCCTGCCTCAAATGAATCCCTGCTTCTTTCTGCAGCCTGTAAAAAGAGCACAGTTTTCCTGGTTAGGGTTCGGAATGATGGAAAACAAAAAAACAATGTGTTTGGCGATAGATCAGGGTGATGGTAGAGGTCCTCCTCTGCTGTCAGGTGCAACTGGATTTGGATTTAGTCATCACCTCCAGCCAATCAGAGTAGGTGCTCATGAATAATCTAAATTATATGCTAATAACTTCGAAAACAGCCTGCTTGAGGACAGAGAGGAATCTTTGCTGTTTGTAGAGATTCATTTTGAGAAATCTAGACACCTTTTGGTGAATTAGAAGTTACAGATATGTTTAAAATACACTTAATATTTATAAAAATAGGCCAGAAGGGGCCATAATACCAACTCTTTAACAAATACAGTAACATCACAAAATCTCATAATGACCTATAATGATCTATTACCTCACCAGTTCATAGTTTTGTCATCAGTACTAGCACTGTGTGATCATGTTAATATGGTGGTGTACTGATACTCAGGAAGCACTACCGGGAGTACCTGGTCAGCCTGATCAACAGCCACTCCATTGACCCTGCTCCCCTCTACAGCTCCAATGAGCTTCTGTTGGCCTGCAGGAGGTACAAGGTGGATGATGCCCGCAGAGAAGGAGAGGACGGCTTCACCTACTACAGCAGACTACTTGAGGTGAGTGTGTGTACATACATGTTTTATTTATGCGACTGTTTTTGTAGCCTTGGCTGTATGTATGACACTGTCAGTCTCCCACTTTGTTCTAGACATAAATATTTCATCAACTATTAGATGGGTTTCCATGAGTTTTGTACTACCTATCATGATCCTCAGAGGAAAATCCTATGACTTTGATGATTTTGTGACTTTTCTTCTTGTGTCAAGAGGGCATTTGCTGTTTTGAGTGAAATGCTGTAATAACTGTTGCATGGAGTGTCATGAAAATTGTTTCATGTATTAATGTTACCTTCAGAATAAAACTTAATTTCTTTAGTAATCCCCTGAACATTTTAAAGCTGCTACATTTGTTCACATTGATACAGTGGGCTTTACCACAGGACCTCATCCTAAAGCAGTAGTTTTCAAAGTCTGACACTGTAACTTTTTGTGTAGTCTATATTTCACACTGAACTAGGATGCTTGCTACTTTCTTTCACTTTATAAAATCTTATTGTATGATTTACATTGACACAAATGGTGTGTGATCTCTCTGCAGAAACTAATGGATGAAGTATCGCTTGGCGACAAGGTGCCACGCAAGAAATAACGATTGCCTCATTTCATTTTGTCTTACGGTTGTGTTCAAGTTGACCATTCAACTGAAAACATAACTACAAGATGCAAAATGGCAAATGTTGATGGTCTAAATATGAACAGTGCAATCTCTGTTTTTAATCAGTTTTATTTCTTCAGTATTTCATATTGTCTGCAACATGTACTTCTGAGAAAATACGAATGGCACAAAAGGTAAACTAACAAAGAAACATTTATTTATTAACGGTATACACATCAGGCTTTGCTGCTACACTTTTGGCCAAATGAGCATCCAGTAGTTTGGAATGTAACATCCCCAGACTCCAAGTTTCTCTGAGCAGCTGTTCAGTGTGAACCCACTCACACAGGTTCTTTACAAGGATAGATAAAGTTGTAACCAACAGAACCGAGCAGTAAATGTGTCACTAAGCTATAAATAGTGTTTTCTTTTGGACAGTGTTGTTGTGTAACATAATCTAAATGCCATTTTTAATTAGCATGTGTTCAAGAGAGCAGAAAATGAAAATACTGCTGGTTTCAGCTGAGAGGTTTAATCGTCTAAATTAAAAGCCCAAATGTTATGGAACCAGCTCTGCACCATCAGTGGCCTGTATCAGCATAGTCTTGCTTGTGTGAGAGTACTGTCTCCTCTGGGTTTAACATCAGTGTATTGATGTCATGAAGCTGGCTATAAGCTGACTCTAGTTTATTGATCCAGCTGTGAGCACACTTGCATTAAAGAGGCAGCACTCTTAATTAAAAGTCAGTGAGATGCAACATCAACAAATATTATTATTATTATTATTAATTATATTTAAAATATGATGAGATGAAAGTCCGGGATTTGTGCAGCTGCAGAAGGTAATAATCAGCTAAACTGAATAATCACACAACTAGTATAAATGAAGGAGAAATAGAAATGGTATATGAAGTCAGTGCTTTAACATAATGAAACAGCTACTGCAGCTAAATGCAGTACTCTACAAACCAGCTGTTGGCAGGTTTTAAGTAGGCTAGTACTGCAAGATCGATGGCTAACCCACTAGTCTCACTTCAGGTGCATGTGTTTAATTACATTGTCATACTATGAAATCTGTTTACTGCATATTTTTGTCAGTGTGCTTTATTAATTGCATGTAAAATAAAATACATCTGTGCATGTTTAAACACAGTACAGAATATATACAGAACTGATGCAGCAATATGCCCAACTTGATGAATGTGAACTGATGTAAAAACCATCAGTGCTTTTAATAACTGTTTGAGAGTAGTATTCTTTTGAGTATACTGTGTGGAAGAACTGGCAGATAAAACCCACAAGTGTAAGTTAAATTCTTCTACAGTCCATCTAGGTGTGGTCCTGCTAGTGAATGGATTATACTGTACACTCACTGCTGTTGATATGTCCTCTCCCTGTATGTGTTAAATGTAACAATAGAATTTTTGTTTGCGCTAACACGATCCAATAAAATAATTTGCTGAAGGTTGTGTTTGATGGTTGATGGAGTATTAGTTTGTCTCCCAGATTAAAGGAGCTTTCTTTTGACAAACGTTTATGTTTATAGACAGTACTTATCACTCCAGCACTCTGTGTGTAGTCCCAACAAGCATATAGAATGAACGTCAGAGCAGGTCTACTACAAATGTTATTGTGCTTAGTAACTCTGTAGAGTCAGTTCACAGGATACAATAATACTTCACTCCAGACACAAATGTCATGTATGCATTCATGTTTTTGTTCATCAGTTGAAGCCAGGGTCTACCACAATAGACATGGCTGCAGGTGCAGACTGTGTAGAGAGGCCATATTAGTGGCAGGCTGCAAAACGCTGACAGAAACACCACACACCCAAAGGCACCATCAAGAATCTGACACTGTACAGAAGTATCTGTGCTGAGTATGGGCTAGGCCCTCCCAAGTCCAGATGGTTGTGGAGAATGACAGGGCTAAGATCCTATAGGACTTCCAGATCCAGACGGACAAGAAGGTACTGGGTAACTAATTGGACATCACTGTAGTACACAAGGAATAGAACGCAGCAGTGGCAATATATGTAGCAGTCCCAGGTGATCACAAGAACAGGAAGAAAGAATATAAGAAACTAAGTACTGTAAGTACCAGGGCCTGAAAGAGGAACTGGAGAGAGAGGACGTGGAAGGTGAAGGCCAGAGTAGTCCCATTGGTGGTAGGGACACTTGGGGCTGTGACTCCTAAGCAGGGAAAGTGACTCCAACAGATCCCAGGAACAACATCTGAGCCCTCTGTCCAGCAAGCACACTGCTAGGAACAGGTATGATACTGCGCAGAACCCTCAAACCCCCACTCCTCTGGTAAAAGTCCCTAGATGGAGGAAGACTCACACCACTTGTGGGGCTGAGAAGGGAGTTAATTACATCATATTGACCAATCATAATCATAAAACCAAAGTGATTTCCATTGACTGTGTAATTTTCATTGTTTTTTTTTCTGTGCGACTGGGAAGGCACTTGACACGAAAGGGTCATTTAACAAATCAGTAATGTTGATATGTAAATGTGGCTTGCCAGATGCATTTCATATGTTGTCCTGCTCTCTGTGGTCACCTCTGCTGTGTTTTACATGTTCTTCTGTTTTGTTTTCAGACAACAGAATAAGCATGAAGTTATGATTTAACTGTGGACCAAAAACAAAACATGTTAACTAGAAGTCATTCCCAGGCTGCTGCACTGCCATGCTAAAAATCCAAATTAATCATCACCACATCACTGGACAAAATCAACATCAAACCAGGTTACTGACAACAGTTTGGCTGTATATTCAGATATGTTGGCATTTAAAATGAACAATCACAGTGTAGGTTGGAGGGGACTAAAGGTTGTCTTCACTTTACGTTGCACATTTGAACATCTAGAGGGCCAGGATTCCTAGACTTGAGTTGGCCGAGTCGATTCTTTTGTAGGTTTTCTGTAAGCTTGTGCTTAATTAGTGGTGTGAAATACTTTCTTTTTGCTCATTTAGCAAATAAGGGTTGTGTGAATCATTATATCATCTTAGAAGATAGAATTGCTTCCTCTATTAATCTGTAGCTTGACTAATATTTATTTATTTATTTTTTGGCGTGTAAATGACCATTTGTGTGCTGTTAGTCAGTTGTGCCCAACTAGAATTTACTACAACTGATCTGAAATCCATTTGAAACTAGGTGCCACAACTGGTAGCAGTGTTTGTTTTTGTCAGTGCCTTTGTCTTGCCTGTGGTCTACACTTGACAGCCGGGTTGTAATCAAGAAGTAGATCCTGCCAGGCAATTAGCAATCAGGGTAAGTAACTTTAAAGAATGGTTGCTAAGTATCAGCTTTCAAGTGTTATGGCAAGAAAAAGCGAGGTTGAACAAAGGTGACTGTTTCTGTGTACCATGCCCCTGCTGCCTCTCACTACAGTGTACTCTGCCTGTCGGCCAAGTAGAAGTGGGGTCTTCAGGGGAGCTGACCCCAGCAACCTCACCTTTTTAACTCTCTCCACACATACAGAATGAGTGGTAGCAAAAGGGCTATGGAATTCCCAATTAACTATGCAAAAACAACAACAACATGTTCTCCCTGAGCTATAGGATATAGTAGTGGTGTTGGCCTAATGAGTTCAGTTAAATGAAAATGTTCTGCTTCCTTTACCACAGCTTTCTGTGATTGTCTTTGAATTCTATGCAGTTGATGTCACACATTCTGTGAAAAAAACCACTGCTATCATTTATCATTGTCTGCCCTCCCCATTGAACTGCCTCTGTCAGTTTATTTTCCAAATTGCAAGACCATCTCAATGTAAGCCTTGGCTGTTTGCCTTGCTGCAAACTAAAAGACATAGCTTATGAAAGGCTGGGTGCAATTAACAAAAGTCAACTCTCAGAGGACCTTCTCAGCTTCCAGTCTCACCTCTTCTGGAGGAATTTGTTACTTTCTTTGAAAAGAAAGTTAGAAATTCACAACAAAAATAATCTCAAGGCACTTTATATAGTAAGCTTCAGACCACAGTATTATAAAGAGAAACCCAACAAATCCCTTAACCAGCCTCCTTCAAAGTGATGCCTAACACACAGATCACCCTCACTTACTACCCATCCATCTCTCAGCCTCTTCAGCATCACTCCCTCCACATTTCTCTAATCAGGTTTCCAGGATTCTCTAATCCCTTACCTCAATTATGGAAATTATGTTTCTTAATCATAGAAATCACATTCTAGAAAAAGTCAACTGTAGCCTGGTTACTTAGGTGGATCTAAGCACACTGACTGTTTCCTCTCTTTCTAAAATAAAAACAACACTAGACCTGTATAAGAGTGATACAGATTGGGGATTGTGTTCACTGCAACCAGCACCAGTACCACAGGGCGCTCCAACAAAACAAAGCAGCCCCATACAATGAAAAAGTTGGATCTGGTTCAACTTTTACCACACCAGACAGTGACATCATCCAGCAAAGGCGTTGCATTGACCAATCATGTATACAGGGAACAATCCAGACAAGTACATCCATGGGAAGAAGACTTTTGTTTACTTTGTGAATAGTGAAAACCCTGAGCATTCACTGCTATTCACTGTCAAATTTTTGTCACAGTTAATGCACCACAATGACACACCATGTATTTTTGTTAGTACTGGATGTAGACACACTGCTTGTAGAATTAGTGCTAAGGTAGAGTAGGCTATGTTAGCAGCATGGCTAACCCAAACACAACAGAAACTTCCGGGCTGGAAACATGAATGAAGCCATTAACATTGATTTGTCACAAAGTGGTTGTATTGTACAGACCTACCAACCAACGCAACCCCTTGCGTTAAATACAGCAAGGAGTTGCATTGTACTGGACTCAGTCTGAAGGCCCACCTATACGCCTAAATCTGTCTGCTGCATTTAACACAGTAAATCACCATATTCTTCTTTCCTCCCTTCTTGTCTGGGTGTCTCAGGCTCTGTTCTCTCTTTGTTTGGACTCATGGGTCGCTCTGACCGGGTGATATGGAAAGGCTTTATGTCCAAGTGACACAGTCTGACAGCACGAGTTTCACATGGCTTCATACTGGGCTCTGTCTTATGCCAGGCAGTAGATGACACAACTTAAGCCCAACACCAGGCCAACATGACGGTCGCTGGGCGTCAGATCCAACAAACAGTGTCAAGCATGACAATTCAATTCAATTTATTTGTAAAGCACCAAATCACAACAAAAGTCATCCCAGGCCACTTTACACAGTAAGTTCTAGACCTTATTATTATTATTATTATCAAGGAAATCCCAACAAATCCCCATGAGCAAGCACTTGGTCACAGCGGGGAGGAAAAATTCCCTTTAATGGAAGAAACCTCCAACAGACCTCGGCTCTGGGTGGGCGGCCTTCTGCCTTGACCGGTTCGGGTGAGTGGACAGAGGAGAGACAAAAGAAAGAAAAGAAACAATCAAAAACTAGTTAGGTTGATGTGGCTGGTGACTGCTCATCAGAGCAGGGTTGTCTCCTAACCGGAGGATTAGAGGTGCGATTCCTGGCTCGTCCAGTCGAAGTGTCCTTGAGCAAGACACTGAACCCCCAGTTGCTCCTGGTGATGATGCTGGTGCTTGAATGTGGGAGTGCAAATGGATCAATGGCCAAATAGTGTGAAAGCCCTTCAAGTGTGCTGCAATGCATAGAAAAGTGCTGTACAAGTTTAAGACCATTTACCAAGCATAAACTTTATTGACAAGTATAAACAAAAATACAAGGAATTTGATTCTAATCCAGTGGCCCCCGATGTGCACAGCAATAAAAACAAATTATATATAAGTTAAAAGAGCAAACATAGACTAGCTGTTCAAGAGTTTAATACCCTTGGGAAAAAACTGTCTCTGTGTCTGGTTGACTTGGCATACAGTGACCTGTAGTGCCATCCAGAGGGGAGGAGTTCAAACAGTTTGTGTCCAGGATGTAAGTGGTCCACAGAAATCCTCTGTCCTTTTGACCTGTGAGGTGTACAGGTCCTCCATGGAGGGCAGGCTGGTACTGGTGCTTTTCTTTTCAGTTCTGACTGTCCACTGAATTCTGTTCCTGTCCTGCTTGGTTGCTGAACCAAACCAGACAGAGATGGAAGTACAAAGAACAGACTCAGTGATTCCTCTGTAGAACTGTATCAGCAGCTCCTGGGGCAGGTTGAACTTTCTGAGATGACACAGGAAGTACATCCTGTGCTGTGCCTTCTTGGTGATGGTGCTGATGTTGGATGTCCACTCCAAGTCCTGAGAGATTGTGGAGCCCGGGAACATGTAAGACTCCACAACTGAAACAGTGCTGCTGGGTATAGTAAGCAGAGATAGGGTAGGGAAGCTCCTCCTAAAATCCACTATCATCTCCACTGTTTTCAATGTGTTCAGCTCCAGGTTGTTACGACCACACCACAGTGCCGGCTGTTCAATCTCCTGTCTGTAGGCCAACTCGTCACCATCTTGGATGACGCCGATGACTGTTGTATCATCTGCAGACCTCAGGATTTTTACAAAGGGGTCTCCTGAGGTGCAGTCATTGGTATAAAGGGAGAACAACAGAAGGGAGACCACACATCCCTGGGGGGCACCTGTGCTGATAGACCAGGTGCTGGATGTGGTTTTCCCCAGCCTCACCTGCTGCTTCCTGTCTGTCAGAAAGCTGGTGATCCACTAACAGGTGGGGGCAGGCACAGTGAGCTGGGTCAGTTTGGAGTAGAGTGTGTCTGGGATGATGGTGTTAAATTCAATTTTGTCTGAGTTTTAAAGTAAGAAATTACAGGTCATCCAGGCCTTTATGTCTTTAAAACATGCTTGAAGTTTGACCAGCTGATCTGATTCATCTGGCTTCATAGATAAATATAACTGAGTATCATCCGCATAGCAATGGAAATTTATGCCATGTTTCCTACTAATATTGCCTAAAGGGAGCATGTATAAAGTGAAAAGAACTGGACCTAACACAGAGCCCTGTGGAACATTGTGTCTAACTTCAGTCTGTGTTAAAGATTCATCATTAACATGAACAAATTGAAATCTTTCTGATAAATAAGATTTGAACCAACTTAGTGCAGTTCCTTTAATCCCAATAACATGTTCAAGTCTCTGCAGTAAGATGCTGTGATCAGTGGTGTCAAAAGCAGCACTGAGATCTAAGAGGACAAGTATGGAGACAAGTCCTTTGTCCGAGGCTAGGAGAAGATCATTGGTGACTTTCACCAGTACAGTTTCTGTACTATGATGGACTCTAAAACCAGACTGAAAATCCTTAAACAAATCATTCTTGTGCAAGTGGTCACATAACTGCTTTGCAGCAGTTTTTTCAATATAGTATATAGTAAACAACTACTGATGCCAACAGGAGCACAAATCACTCTTCTGTTCACAACATTTTTGGCATATTGGACTGAACCATATAAATACCACAGTGATACAACAAAAGTTAGCATATTGACTTCCACAGTTAGACTTATGAAGTAGCTACCTTCTCAGGGCTAGCTAGTTTTCAGTATTTCTACTGGCTTAAAAACTTATTTTTGACTGCTACCTCAAGTTCTTCTTGAAGGAGAGACAACACAGGCTGCTGCCAATGAAAACACAGTGGTGGTGCCATCTGAAATGCAGAGGAACCAGAACTGACCATGAATGACAAACAGTTGTCCTCAATAAAACATTGTAACATTTACTCCTGTTGATTTCTCTTTTACAGCATTAACTCCTTCCTCATCACAGAGGTGGCCCAGGTTTGTTCTGGTGCCACGACAATGGGAACTGTCCACTGATGTCAGGACAGCAGAGTCACTGCCCATCTTCCATAGCACTGTACATCCCAACAACCCTTGCTAAAAAGAAATAATAGGCACTTGTTCTGTTGTACTGACCATGCGTTAATCATCTTTTTAAAGCTATACTCTCCCAGTATTGGTTGATATCTGGCTCTTGCTACTATTGTTTGAAAGCAAACATATGTAAATCTTTTTGTGGCTTGCACAAAGATGATTTTATCTTTTGTGGAGAATTAACTGTAAGTAATGAGGTAGCAGAAAATCAAATACATAAAGTGACTGTGCTTGTGAGTAAAAAGAAAACATGAGAAATACCAAACTTAAGTGTACATGTTTATTACTACAATTAAGACAAACAATTACACACGAACATTATGACAGCAACACAATAACACTAAACACATTAGCAAACAGTAAACAAAGTCTTTTAACCTGACAATAATGAAGGCAAACAGGGCAAGACTGTAATGGACCTTGGAATGAATATGGAAAATGATTAACCAGACCTGGCAATGAATAATGCAACAATTTGGAGTTTGGATAATGCCAATTTAATTTAAGAACTGTGGTTAGCCAAGTGGAGGAGAGAAGTACTTGTTTGCTCTGAAGACGCTGTTGCTATGTTGCTCTGAAATGTGATCAACTGGCTGGAGGTAACTGCTGTGGTCAGGTCAGGAAGCTCTTTTCTCTGAAGGAGAGGTCATTGGCTGCAGTCTTTTCTTAGAGTCTGACTTAGGGTGTGTCCACATTAAGCCTGTTAAACTGCCATTTCAATCCTTTCTTCAGGCTAAGCCAGTATTTTTCTCTTCCCAGAACAGAGGGTTTTTTTAAACAGCCTCTGGAGTCTAATGAAGCAGTCTGTATGGATAAGTATAGTATTTGGACCAACAGAAAAACTAAAGGCAAAATGCAAACAAAAGATCTGTACACCACTGTAAGCTCCCAGCAATTTTAATTAAGCAGCAGCAACATTATGTTTTAAATAAGGTCTTTATCAGCTGCTGTCAAACAGGTATCACAGTGAAGAACAAACATATATAGACATCTACAAACACATCACTCAGCTGTTTTCAGTCTGAATGATTTAAAGTCATCAAAGGTGAACTGCACTGTCTGAAACTTTCACTTAAGGAGCAGAAGATGTCAATATGGGAGGGACAAAAAGAAGAAAAAATACATTAAACCAATAAAAAATCACAAAAATACAAGAAAACACTCAGTATAAGGGAATCACAACTGCAGGTTTGAAAGGCTGCATTCTGCCCCCTTGACTACTCCACCTCAGCTGCACCATCAGCAGCCATTCCATTGACAACAACAACTGTCACCTCCCTCCCTCTGGACCCTCACCTCTAAGGACCAGTGAAGGTGAAGTAAGAGAACTCTTTAAGAGACAAAAGTGCAGGAAGGCATGTGGCCTGGATGGAGTCATGCCTTCCCGCTTGAAAGCTCATGCTGCTGAGCATGCCCCTATTTTTACCAGGATCTTTAACAGCTTGTTGGAGCAATGTACAGTCCCCACCTGCTTTAAACGCTCTAAAGAAACAAACCAATACTTATAAGTAAAGTTGCACTGTGCACACTGTGAGCACTTGTTATCATAAATGTCACCTGTGCTGCAATGTCTGCTTCAAGCAGCAGGAAACACACACAATCCACACCACAACCCTTACCTTAACCCTAACCTGAATCCTAAAACCAAGTCTTAACCCTCAGAGAGCTATTTGAAAAGGTGAGGACCAGGCAAAATGTCCTCACTGTGTAGCAAAAAACCCCAAACCTTTTTTTGGTTCTCACTGTATAGCAGGTACAGGAACACACACCCACACACACATCAAGCAGGAATATTCTGCCATTGTTACAGCCATCATTCCCCCATGTTCCTACCACTACTCAGCAATACTGTCTATATGAGGTCGCTCATGTGCACTTTAGGAATATTTTCATAAAGTCTCGAATTTCTTCACTTTTTGTGCTTATACATTTCCGTTTCTTTAATTATTTATATATAGGGGCTTGGGAATATTTTTGACCTGTTGGGGCAGGGTGCACTGGACAGATCACTGGTCTATTCAGTGTGAGAGACAACTTTCTGTTGTGTTGAGCATTAACTGTCCTGGTGATTACTGTTAATTGATAAAACATAGCTGGTAAAACCTGATAAAACTGTAAAAGTATGTGAACTGCTGAGCTGTGACAGCTACAGCAGGATCTGTCCATGGTGCTGAAACCAGGCTGAGACTGGTTCACTTCCCCCTGGCCAGCTGCGAGCGGCCAGACAGACAGAAAGAGAACTGTGCCCCCAGTAGGGAAGTATAATGAGAGTAGTCTTTACTTTGTGCCGTAACAGCGTTCAAACAGCCCAGAGACAGAAAGACAAGCAGAGAGAGGGAGAGAGTCGGCCGGAGAGAGAGGAGAGGATGATGTCATAGTTGTTAGTCTGTGCCATGGAAGAAGCAGATGGCTGCAGCCTTCTTCCTTTTCCTTCACTCCTATTTCCACCTCCATCCCCAGTATCAGCCTCAGCATCAGGAGTAATCTAGAGCAAAGAGTGACAAACCGCAGGAGCGGAATCTGTGCAGGTAGGCTGAAAGAAACAAAGCGGAAAACCCCTCTGTCCGCTGAATGGGAGCGGATCAACCGAAGGAGATGTGAGATAAAGACGCGACATGGGCCAGAATATCGGAATAACCACTAGTACCCGTTCAGTCTTGTTTTTTGTCTTTATTTTGTATTATGACCAGGCGGCAGTGTAGAGGAGCCAGTCCTGCCCAGAAAGGAGGAGGAGGAGGAGAGACGCGCAGAAGGGTGTCGACGGACAGAGGCAGGGGTAAAGGAGAAGAGGAGGGGAGGAACCGAGGAAAAATAACAGAGTAACATTACAAGCTTCCAATAATGGCGGCTAAATCTGACGGGGTCCTGAAGATGAAGAAAAGTGACGTGGCTTTTACCCCCCTGCAGAACTCGGAACACTCCGGCTCGGTGCAGGGGCTCCACACGGGCGGCCAGCCCGACTCTGCGGGCACGGGGGACGGAGACTTCGCTAATGGGGAGTCGCGGTGCTGCGGTGGGGGAGGCTCCAACTCGACGTGCCTTCGCCTGGGCAGGGAGCAACAGAAATACACGGTGTGGGACTGCCTGTGGATTGTAGCCGCAGTGGCTGTGTATCTGGCTGACGTGGGCACCCACGTTGGAAAAAATTCTTCGTGGTGCTGGGCTCCTTCTCGGTCCAGCTCTTTAGCTTTAGATGGTTCGTCCACGACTTCAGCACCGAGGACAGCACAGAATCCGTCTCCGATTGCGCCCATATGGATGGGAATAAGCTACTGAGCGGCTCGGCCTCGCACGGCGACGTTACTGCTCAGCATCATAAGGCCACACCGCAGAGACAGGCGTCGACCGCCAGCAAGAACACCATTGCCAACAGCACCGGGAGCACCGCGCTGGGTAGCAGGGCCAGGAAACGGTCGGCCTACTACACCTTCTGCGTCTGGTTCGGCCAGTCCGTCATCCACATCCTCCAGCTGGGCCAGATATGGAGGTAGGATGAAGGCTGGGATGGAGGCCTCCCGGTTGGTTAAAGTGATGTTGTGTGTATGTGCTTGTTCACGTGTGCATTCGTGTATGTAGAATAAATGAATGAATGAGCTGCTCTGACAACAGTCGGCGCTCTTGGCACCATGCTATAGCCTGTGACTGCTGCCAGCTTCTACAGCATGACCACCAGCTGCCATCTTTGCCATGTTCCCCTCTACAGGGCCAACACAGGTGATACTGTGAGAGGCTTCAGGTCACTTGTCTTCTACAGTATGTCCTTACCAAAGGGTCATGAAAGATTACATGATCTTGTATTAGAACCACAGGGAGCTGGCCCGGCCTGTCAGTCACATGCCACTGATGTCAGGCAGTGAATGCTGCTGTTGCTGTGGGGTTTTTTCCTTTTGGTGCCACCGGAAAGGACTTGGTAGGCCAAACTGCTTCTGAATGGAGCCAGGAATTTGAATGAGCCAGGCTTTGCACAGAGGCAATCTGACAGCAGCTAAACACAGGCCTTAAATCAGTGTAGATACAAATATCACTCAGCTGAATCAAAAGAGAAGCCTGCAGCCAAACTATTACTGACCTATTCTGGAGTACATGTGCTGTGCAGTGATAATATTACAGAATAGTACAATACCACATCTTAACAAAGAACCCGATGACTGATAACTGATCAATATATTTTTGGACTGTTAATACTGTCCTTTATGTAGCATTGTATCTGCAGTTGGGGTTGCTTAATCTATAACAGAAGCTGAACATGTTTGTCTACTTCAAGTGAATAAAGCTGTGGCAGTATTCCCCCTGAAAGCTAATGGTTTAAAAAGGGCTGCAACAAACAGTTGTTTTCATTGTTTATTTGCAGATTATTTGCTTAGTTCATCATTTGTCCCATAAAACCAACCAACAGCCCAAAATAAAAAGATACTTAGTCAAAGATGGCCAGCCCTGTGTTTGGAGATTTGGTTGTCCTAGGTTGCTTAAAACAGCTAGGCTATTGTTTTCTGGTTATACCAATTATTTCTTGACACATTGTTTTGGAAGGATCTAAGCAGCTTACTTTTTCATGTAAATCTCCCCCAAAAACAATATGATATGGTTGAAAGCTCCAGAACAGCTACCTTTAATGGACCTACAGTAATGGAGAGCTATGGACACAAGGAGACTATGTTTATTATCAGATATGTGGGTAGTGACAGTTGTCTAGGAACTGTCAAAGAAAGAGTGCAAATGAAGATATACTGACTAATGTAAGAATACTGGGTATACAGTATATGACCTGAGTGGAATGTAGTTACTGATTATTATCCTGCATGGCTAAATATTTCCACACCTACAGTAATTTCCAGTAAAATTGAAAACCGCACACAGTAGTGGATTGCTAAATCTTCTACATCCTCTAGAATCAAACTAATAACCTCAGGGTCCTCAGTAGCTATGGCCCCAGCTGCAGCAGCATCTTCATGCTTTTGTTTCTATTGTAACTGGGTAAAACCTTTTGGTTTTTCATTGGGACAGGATATGATGCTTCAGCTTGATTTCCTGTCCTCTCCCATGTCAGCTGCACTTGTCCCACCATTAATAATAACAGTTACTTGTCCCTTTCAGAATATTTCTCTCTGTCCTGGGATCATAAAACATGTTCATCTCTGGGTAAGAGATGTCAGAGTCATGGGGTGGAGTTTCTAGGTGATACAATATTGTCATCAGGAAAGCAATGTACGTAATTTGTGCTGCTGTGGTGAAATTGTTCTCACACATCATACTGGAGTGTTCAGTCAAGGAGAGACATAGTCAGCTAAAATATTTAGAAATATTGCAAATATTAGAACCTTTACAGAAAGATGGGAGATCTCTCTGTCCAGGAGACAGTTTTTGTTATCTTTCCAGAGCCGTCCTTAAGTAAAACAGGTATCAAACGGCATCTTCACATCATCCAGTGAGACCACAGTAGCACAAAACCAAAGAGCTGTTTTAACTTGTATATATTTAGAAATGTCTGTTTGTTTTATTTAGTGCACATCAGGGGCCATTGAGCTGGAGTCAAATTTTAACATACTTAACAATAAAGTTTGTGATTGATTGATTGATTGATTGAGTAGCTATAGAGCACAAGAAGCTGGAAATAATTTATATTACCATGGTTGGTGGATGTTGCTTTGCAAGTTGTCAGCAGTGGTGTGGTCAAGTCACGAGTCCCCAGCATTCGACTCTGATTTGAGTCCAAGTCAGGTCTCGTTACCTGAGTTCATCAAAGGTCTACATTAAAACTGACACAGCTCTCATCCTTTTATATTCCAAACTTTCTAACCGTGTATTGCATCACCATGTTGCTCAGCAGTTTGATACATAATCATTTGTAGAAAGGTGGAGTGTGTGCTTGGTGGAAGTGGTTACCGTGGATACAGCATGGTGCAGATGAACAGGTTGAGCAAAAATGTATGTTTTTGAATTTGCTGAATGTTTTTAATCCTTTTTGGACATTAATTCAGTGCAGAAAATGAGGTGACAGGAACCAAAGGAAGACAGACAGGGAAAGACCTGTGTCCTGTACGTTACAGACAGATTATGGCTTTTACCAATACACTTTGTGATGTTGTTCTCTCTGTATGACTGTTGTTTACAGTGTTTTTAAAACCCCTGCAGATCCTTTAGTGACAGTGTGGTTGATCTTCTTTTACTGATATTTTATATTTGTATTTCACGAATAATGTAGCAGAGGGAAACTGCAGCTGCTTCACAGACATCAGACAAGAACTAACAGAACCAAGAAAAAATGGTTTTGAACATAAAGACAAATTTAGCAGCAAATAAAGTGTATCATTAAATAAATGAATTTCACATTTTAAACTGGAGGTGCACCAGTAGAGACAAACCCAGAATGCAACGGTAGCAGAGACACTCTGCACACACATCAGGTGGATGTCAGCGCTACAGCAGTGGACTGTATCCAGCAGCCACAACGGAGCTAGAACAAGGCACCGACACATCCAGTGGACATAAGAAGAGAAATAAGTTGACATTCTGAAAATCGTCTGACATATTGGATTTTTAGATGACACCTGCTGATCTTTGATCACTAACCTTATGTGATCGTGCTGCAGAATTTGGTACTTGTATCTCCAGTACAGGTTGCGTCAGGAAGGGCATCTGGCGTAAAACACGTGCCAAATGTCAACATGAGAGGAGTCAGTGTGACGATTCACTGTGGCAACCCCTAAAAGGGAAAAGCCGAAAGTGACTTTCTTTCTATCTGCAGCACATTTGGGCAGCTCATAATGTTCACCCTAACTACAGGAGTATGACTGCACTGAGGTATCAGTGAGGAGCTCACTGGGTATAGTTTCAGCATTTGTTCATTTAGTTATGGTGCAGAATGAGTACAGCTTATTTTATTTTCATTACTGAGTAATGCATTAGTCATTGTTTCAGTCCAGCTTGTAGTCTGTAGAATGTCAGATTCAACAGATTCAAACCAGCAGGTCCCAGAGGTCTTCACTGTGCTTATTCAGTCTGAGAAACAATACCTACAGCTGATGACACCGTTTTACTTTTAAATATCAAACATCTAAATGAGCAAACAAGTAATATGATACTATTATTTTACTGGCATCGGGCTTAGACCTTAAAATAAAATCACGTGAAGTTTAATGTGAAGCAGTGTCACATTCCAATCAAAAAGTATGGTATAGAGTGCCATAGAGATGATGCTTTTTGTAGCTCAATGTGGAAGTTAGCAACACCCTGGTTCCCTCGACAAAAACCCATTGAGACTTTTCTATTGTTTTTTTATTGTTTTGTTTTGTTTTATGGTGGAAAATAAGCGCTGTGAAAAACAATGGCTTATGACATTTGCATGTTTTGTTCAGCAAGATAATCTTCACAAGTGAACACCACTTTTATGATTTTTGTCTTTTTCCCTCCTGCTTCGTTTGCATATTGCACACTAGTTAACATGTTGGCCCAAGGAACTGCAACTAGTTAACTAGTTGGACAAAAGTTCCACTAGTTGCTGAAAGAGAGCAACTAGTAAGAATTTCTGTTCAACTAGTACAACAAAATGTCCAACTAGTGCTGACAAGAACTAAACAAATGGAGGAAAATGACATCTGATATCAAGGATGTCAAATAAATACTATAACAGCTTGTCATACCCCAGGCTGCTTGATCAGCCCACCGGCCCACATCATCCTCATTCCCAGTGCTCCCAAAATCCAAAATCCCAGCAGTAGCACGTTAGCAGGTGGCTTTTTTGTATCTAGCTGAACTAGCAAACACACAAATGACACTTTTTCCTCGAGTTGACAACAACAGTGCTTGTTACTGTAAGGGCCATAACATCAGTGACTAAAAAGCCATATCAGAGCAAGTTCTGGTGGACTCTGTGTCTGAGAGCAGCCCCCGTACTCCTCCCTGTCCCACCTGTACCTGCCAGCTGTGAGTGAACATCTGCAGTAAGAACGAGGCCAAATGACAGACAGTGAATGATTTCAGTATTCATGCTTCATAAATTTCACCTAATAACTAAAGTCGGGTTTATTTATATTTTTTTAAATTCTACGATTATTGTGGAGTCTTTCTTGTGACTTGCTGTTGTGGGTATGAATGAATGAATTTATAGTCAGTGGTCACTTTATGAGGAACAGCAGTCTAAAACTTAGTCTAAGCTACCATCTTGCAAAAGAGTGTGTTGATTCAGCTGATAGTTTTGGAGACTGTGGTTTGTTATGCAGACAGGAGTTTCTATTATATAGCCTTCGCTCACTGATGTACCAAATGGGGTGGATAAAATAATATAAACACCGGTATCATGCAATAGCTGGGTAGCTAATTAACCATTTCTAGCATCCAGTTCAAGCAAGTCCAGCTCTCTAGATGTCAGTACAAACACAATACAACTAAGTGCTCTGCCTGAAAACTGAGACTGATAGATTAAAGAATAACATATAATTGTGAGTGATATGCTGAATCTGCTGAATACCAGTTTAAAGAAGATGTTTT